GACAGCGGTGGCTGTCGTAACCGGCGACTCAAAGCCCGCCGGAGAGGGCAGCAGTGGCGCTCCTCCGACGTCGCAGCATGGACCGACCTCGGAGCCGGCGGAGAGGCTGCAGGGCGCGAGCTCCAAGCGCCCTGGCTGGCAACGCAGGCCGGTCTTTGACGGGCGCGGCGAGTTACAGGGCCTAGACTCGCAGCGGTCCGAGGTATTCCGCTCGGGCGGCCCGAAGCTGGAGCCCTCCTCTCCGGCCGTGAACGGCCACTCGAGGCCACGCCGCCCTCCGCGGTGGAAAGACGCCGCTGGCCGACGGCCGGGGTCGGAGACCGGCGAAAATGGGCAGCCGAGACCAGACAAACCTGGAATCAGCACGAAGAGGCAGGATGAGCCTGTGACCAGCACGGAGAGGCATGATGGACCTAGAACGAGCACGGAGAGGCAGGTTGAGCCTGTGACCAGCACGGAAAGGAAGAATGATCCTTTTACCAGTACGGAGAGGCAGGATGGGTCTGGAACGAGTACGGAGAGGCAGCATGAGCCTGTTACCAGCACGGGGAGGCAGGATGGGCCTGTGATCAGCACGGTGAGGCAGGATGGGCCTGTGGCCAGCACGGTGAGGCAGGATGGGCCTCGAACCAGCACAGAGGGACAGGATGGGCCTTGGACCAGCACAGAGAGGCAGGATGGGCCCGAGACCAGCACAGATAGGCAGGATGGCCCTGTGACCAGCACGAAAAGGCAGGATGGGCCTGCGAATACTACAGAGAGACAGGACAGGGATGGGACCAGCACAGAGAGGCAGTACGAGCTGAGAACCACGACGGATACACAAGATGCGCTTGGGATTACCTCACAGAGAGAAGGTCATCTCAAAACCAGCGCAACGAAACAAGGCGGGTTCGAGGACAACACAAAAGGGCAGAATGTATCTGGGACTGACGCAGAGAAACGGAGACCAGACGAGCCAGCCATAAACAGTGCGTCACCGGGTTCCAGCACTATCAGGCAGGGTCTGATAAGGGTCTCTGTGACTCGTCCGAAAGTAACCACGGACGCTGCCTCGCAGGCTACGTATTTGAAATCCGCAGCTGCTCAGGAGGTCTTAAACGAGGCAGTCAAACTTCTGGAGGAGGCTGTGACGGCCCCGGCGAGGAAGGGTGTTACCCACCCGACCGTGCCGTCCTCCACGACCAAGAGGGTTCACCATGCTGATGCGGAGCACCCAGTCACCACAGTATCCACAATCTCAGCAATGCACGCCAAGCAAACGCCTAACAAACCAAGCACAACTCCGCAGTCCGCCCCTAATGCAGCCCTACCTCCACTGACATCATCGCCTACGATCACGGATGGAAGGCCACCCACGACGCCAAACTCGCTTCGAACGACTCTAACGACACCAGTGGCGCACGTCATCTCGACCACTCCACGCTCGCCAACGCTGAGACGCCCACAAGCCGAGGCTCCGAAGTCGGGCGCCACGCCGGACCCGCCGGCACCGCAGAGGGCGTCCAGGCCACCTGAGGTGCGTGTCCTGGCGCTGTTGGGTCTGCACGAGCTGGGCACGACCGGCTCCTGCGGCGCCACCGTCAACGAGGTCGGTCTACAGACCTGGGAGGCGCTGCGCTGGGCGGTGGGCCGCCTCGGCCGGCGGCTGCGGCTGGCGGTGCGGGTCGAGCCGGCCGATCACTGCGGCTCGCCGGCGCGTGCCGCCCGCCTCGCCGCAGCCGCCGGCGCTCCACTGGCTGTGGTGCACGACCTGGGAGGCGCCGCGGCGGCGGCCGTCTCGGCGGCGCTGGCCGGCCGGCGCGTGACTGTGCTGCGGCTGGTGACGTCCGCGCCGGGCGCCGACCCGCCGCCGCCGCTCGAGTTCGCCGTGCAGCCGCGGCCGGACTCGGAGGCGCAGCTACTGACGGCACTGGTGCGAGCTCTCGGCGTGCGGCGGCTGACGCTGCTGCACTCGGACCAGCCGCGACAGCGCGCCCTGGCGGCGGCCGTCGGCGCCCGCCTGCGGCCGTTCGTGCCGTGTCTGCGTACGGTGACTCTGCGGCACGAGCCGGCCGGCCTGGCGTCAGCCGGCGATGGCGCCGTCGCCGTGCTGGCCCTGCTTACCCGGCCTGGCCTAGATCGTCTGTTCAAGGGGCTGGCGGCGCGGCCCGGCGGCCGGGGGCGCCTCTTCTTCGTCGGTGACTCCACCTGGGGCGAGAACATCCGACTGTTACGCCGCCACTGGCTGGACGTCGACAACGTCGTGCTGCTGCGCAACCAACGAGTCGATGTGACCGCCTTCGGCAAGCAGTTCTGGCGGCAGCGGGCGGCGGCGGCGACGGTGGCGACGACGGCGGCGGCGCCAGGCTCGCCGGCCGCCTGGCGCGCCCGGTACTGGCGCCAGTGCGGCGACAAGTGCGCACTGAACGCGGGACGGGTCGGAGACGCCCTGCTCTTGGCCCACACGCTCATGGCGGGTCTGGCCAGACTGCGCGCCGACGATTGTGGGCATGAAACGCCCGCCGACTGCTCACCAGACCTGTGAGTGCTCACTAGCAGACTTTAGAAGACTGACGCTCTCTGCGCACCATTTCACACTAGCGTGAACGTGTAACATGGACGTTCAGTTGCATTGGATAGGCTCACACTTGAGTACGTAGGTGCATGAGCCAATTTATCAACAAGCATGAACGGAGTCTTGGGAACATTACCATCCAGTTAGTTACAACTATCCATTAAAAATTGAAATGCTGGCTTAACTTGAGACCAACGGGCAGCTGAATGCCACCTCGAGCATTTGTCTTCTGGCCCCGTCAGCACGCCTAATCACAGCTGTAGTCCCTCACGTGTGTAAAGCTCCGGGGAATAAGCCGGCGCCGAGCACCGCCCGTTCGTCAGCCGTCTCTATCGTGCGCCAGGGCGAGCCTGGGCGGCCGGCTGGCAGCCGAACTATCCCGCGGCCCGCGCCCGGACCAGACGGCCAACCCGCCCGGCATCCGGTTCGGTCCGCGGCGGTTCGCCGAGCGGCGCGCCGACGTGCTCAACCTGCGCGACATGCGCCGCATTCCCACCGTCAGGGAGCTGCATTACGTGAAGGTGAGGCGGCCGCTCGCCGGACGCGGGCAGAGCGGCGGCGGGACACGGCGGCCGCCAGTTTACCGACGGAGTAACGGAGCGGGGACTGCCCCGTGTGTGTCTGACAACGGTTGGATGTTGCTACGATTGACGTTTCTTGGCGCCTGACAGCTTAAGTACATTCATTGAGTAGATTCCTGTCCGACTAAACAACTTAAAACACATGCAAGGGCAACCCACCCTATTGTGCCCGAACTCTGATGCGTTACCGTGCGTCTCACTGAAGAACCCCATTACTTGGCAAAGTATGTTCCTAGTACAGATCGCGATTAAGCCAGGGTGAGATCAGCAGACATTTAACAACAGTTTGCCGTGCGTGTTGGCTCTCCGCGCCAGGTGGGTGAGGTGGACCAGGAGGAGGCGCATCTCAACGCTGGCGTGGTGGCCAACACTCCCGACGGTCGCGAGGTGCCCGTGGCCTCTTGGCTCCAGGGCTGCCCGGTCAATGTTACCACCACACCGCCCGCCACCAGCGTCTCTACCGCAACGGCAGTCAGTATCCCGGCCGCCACCTCCACTGTCGGCGCCGTGACGCCGAGCACGCAGCGCGCGGTGACCGAGCATACCTCGGTCAGCACCGTCAGCGCCGCCACCTCCGGCCGGCCGACAACCGCCAGCTCGCCACCGGCGGTCCTCGCCAGCACCACGGCAGCGTCCAGCGGCGCGGCGCCGGCCGAGCCTGCGCTGCCGGGCCGCCACCTGGCGGCGCCCAGTGGCGCCTACCTGGTGCTCAGCCTGGACGTGCGTGGCCGAGGCGCGGCGCCGCTCTCATGCGGCCGGCCGCGCGCCGCCGCGTTGATGGCACTGGACGGTGTGGCGGCGGCGTTGACGCAGCTGCAGCGGCGCCGGCCCGACACTGCGCCGGGCCTGCTGCTGCTGGATGGCTGCCGACAGCGGCTGCGACGCCAGCACCAGGCGGCTGCACTGCTGCTGGCCGCCGCCGGCCGGCCGCACCTGCAGCTGGCCGGCCTGGTCGAGTTGAGCGGCTCCGAGCCGGTGGTCACCGCCTTCCGCCGGCAGGACGTGATGAGCGTGGCGCGGCTGGCGGCCGGCAGCGGTCGACTCTCGCTGGCACCGCCGCCCGAGGTGGCCGCCGCGGCCGCACGCCGCCTCCTCGCGCAGCTTCAGTGGCGACTGTGCGCGGTGGCGCATGCGCCGCACTCCACCTGGCACGCGGCCGTGCTTGAGGCGCTGGCGGCGGCGCCGCGGCCGGCGCGCCTCGCCGCCAGCGTGGCGCTGGCCGTCGAGCCGAGCCCGGCGCAACTGCACGCCGCGGCCGCCGAGCTGCGCGCCGCCCAGCAGCGCGGCGCCCAGGTGTTGTTGGCACTGCTGCCGGAGCCGCTGGCCGCGCGACTGCTGGACGCCATGCGTCAGCTGCCGGTCAGCTTGTTCGTCATCAGCATTGACCTCGCGCGCGGCACTGAGGCTAGCTAGTGAGTGACGCGTTACGGAATGGTCACCTGATCGATCCGGGGTTAGTCATACAACACGAGTCGATATCTTTCATTGGATGGGCAATGCCGATGTTAACGAATCAAATAAGCACTTTCTTTACCAAATTGGGTGAGGTCAACCCAAAAGGTACAGAAATAATATCTTCCGAAAACAGCCATATTGAACCAAAAGCAGACAAGCAGGCTGTTTTATGCTAAAACAGCAGCAGACGATCAGCATTTCGTGCACTGTCTCTGGTGTCTTCATGCAGAGTATCGACCTGTTGCCAGCAGTGTAACGACGGTACTTGCCCCCGTGAGATCACGTCCCCGTCCGGCCGGTCCACAGCTCGGGTATGCGGGGAGCCGTCCGGCTGGTGCCGCCGCCGGCGCCGTGGCCCGACGCGCCGCCGCCACGCAGCAGCCTGACCGGTGACCTGTGGCCCGAGGCCGAGCCCAGCCCGCCGGGCGCCGAGTGGGCCGACGCGCTGACCGCCGTCCACGCGCTGAGCCGCAACCTACAGGCTCTGGTGGACAGCGTCTGCCCAGGTGAGGCTGCACGTTCAGGGAGGGAGGCGACATAGACAGCTTGGTAGCTGGCTCAGACACCGTCAGTGCCGTTTCGCCCGCCCGGCGGCAGGTGGAATTCTTTGCTGCTGCCGATTCGCGGGCACGTGCAAATTCTTTAGAATGCATCCGCTTTTTTACAAAGTGCTGTAAGCGTGGAACAAAATAGCCGCGTACCTGCTATAGTGACATTCTTTGCCGTTCGACGAACACGGATTTAGTCTGAGATTTTGCATTTGGATACGCGTTATTATCGCTGACAAATAGGTGAAGCGTATCGTAAAATTGAATTGTGGGAAATGCGTTGCATTCACGCTGTTCAATTTTGAACACGGCAGGCAGTGGAAGGCAGAGAAGGGAGGAAGGGAGCGAAGCAGTGATGTCACGTGGTGGAAGGGGAAGAGGTGAGAGGGGGGGGGGGGGGGGAGGTGAGCGACTGCTAAAGCTATTTGACGCACGACGCGACGAATTTCGTACACCTGTTGCTGACTGAACGATGTCTTCCAAGACCGATCAGCTGACGACTGCGACCCGTCGAGGCTGGACCGTCTCTCAGCTGACGAGCTGACGCGACACATGACGAACCTGACCTTCCCGAGCGCCGACGGCCAGCCCACCTCGTTCCTGTCTGACCGCTACCTGGCCAACGCCTCACTGCAGGTAGGTCGGCCGGACCTCACCGTGGAGCTCTCTAAACGGCCGATAAATCGCTGAGAGCGGACCGACCTGCTTCCAATGTACTGAAGTGCGCCTATCAACGCCGTCAGAACGGATGTCTCCTCTGTCAGCACCATAAACTTCTGTCTCGATGCGCAAACACATTCGCAGCTATCATTGGAACACTGGCCTGGCCCGGGACTAGCCGCGTGAGCCTTCACTGACAGTGATGCTAAACTGACACGCTCGTGCGTCGACGACTCGACTGAAGCTTTTTATGCTGACCCGTGTGTAACCAGCGACACGACCCGCCACGGGGTTGAGCCGATTGTGACCCGGTGGGGCCATATCCCGCCACACTGGCACCGCGTGACGTCACATCACTGACCCGCTCGCGCCGCTAACCTGTCCGCACCGCGTGACGTCACACCACTGACCCGCCGCGTCGCGTGACGTCACACCGCTTACCTGTTCGCGCTTCGTGACGTCACACCACTGACCCACCCACGCCGCATGACGTTACACCACTGACCCGCCCGCGCCGCATGACGTCACACCACTGACCCGCCCGCTTCGCGTGCTGCAGCTGGAGAACGAGTGGCGTGAGGGCTCGAAGCGCCGCTGGGTGCCGGTGGGCAACAGCAGCCGGCACCTGGGCTTGCAGCTGCAGCTGGGCCGGCTGGTAGCCTACAGCGAGCAGGGCGGCGCCGTGCCTGCCAGCAGCCTCCAGTCGCGCTGCACCGGCTGCGACGCCGGCACTGACCAGCCGACCATCATGGAGGTCAGCGACGGACGCCCACGATCAGCGGGCGAGCGGCACCGCGACGCTAACAATGGCAGCTCTGTCGCACGTTATGAACACGGAGTAGCATGTCCAATGTCTCTTCGTTAAATCAACGCGGCTTACGATATGCTGTCGTTAGACACGCCCCATGACACTCCGTCTGTCGTTTCAGCAGGGCCTGAGTGCTCCACACGCGTGAGTGACGAGTGCGTTGTTTCAGATTATTGTCATGCATCGTTACGTCACTTCATGACCAAAGTTGTCATGTTTCCTCTTCCCGGTCAGCCTGCCGTCTGTACTGTCTCTTCCTACAGATCGTACGCTATGCCTCCTCGCCCAGCACACGGTTTACCTCGGCACGCCGTCCACAGGTGGCGCTGAACCGCTCCAGCTACCAGCTGGCGATCCTAGCGCCGGTGCACGAGCAGGGAGCAGACATGTTCAGCTGCGGCCCGCTGACGGCAGGGTCCAGCTTCCTCTCGGTGGCGGCCGCCGCCTGGACGGTGGTCGCCTCCCGTTTGCCGGTAGGCGCGCGCGTGCTTGACACCTGCGGCCGGCCGGAACGCGCGCGTGACCAGCTGTTCGGTCTGCTGAGCTCGGCGGCGGCCGACCCTCGCCGTCTGGTGGGCGTGATCAGTCTCTCGGAGGCGACCGGCGCCGGCGTGGCCGACATGCTGCAGCAGGCGGGCGTACCGCACGTCTGCGTGCCGGTGGACGGCCACGGCGCCGTCTACGACCGGCTGGCCGGGCCATACCGTACCGTGCCGCTCGTCGAGCACGAGGTGCATGCCATCGTGTCGCTGGCGCGCCGCTTCGGCTGGGGCTACCTGTCTGTGCTGCACTCGACCGACGCGTACGGCGTGCGCGCGCTGCAGCAGCTGACGGAGACGGCGCCGCAGCACGACATCTGCGTCGGCTCCGTCATCGGCGTCGGCGGCGGTTTCGGCGCGGCGGAGGCAACCGGCGCCTACGCCGAGCTGCGCCGCCCGCCGGCCGCGCCCACCGTAGTGATTCTGGTGTCGCGGCCCGAGCAGACCCGCCTCCTGCTGGCGGCGGCCGCGCGCGGTGGCGTCGACGATCGCCTGCTGTTCGTGGTCGGTCGCCACTGGGGCCCGCAGCTGGCGGACGAGACGCTGGCGCCAGTGCTGCGCCGGGCCGTATTCGTCACGCTGCCCGAAGCACCCGTGACGCCCGTTACGCGCTGGCTGGCGGCCATGACGCCGTCTGACCACGAGCCGTTCCCAGACGCATGGTTCGCCGAGTACTCGCGGCGCGAGCGCGGCTGCCAGCCGGCGGGCGTGGCAGACGGTGCCGAGCGGCCTGCTTGCGTCGGCGACAGGAACGACACGGCGCCGCCCGTCTCGCCGTACGTGTACCACGCGGCACTGGCCGTCAGCGTGCTGCTGGACAGCCTGGACGGCTACCTGCGGCGCCACTGCGTGCCGGGCGAGCCCTGCGCCCGGCTGGTCGGCGCCGAGCTGATGGCCGAGATGGACACGCGCCTCGCCAACGCATCCGGGCCGCAGCGAGCCCGCCTGATGGAGGCCGACGGGCTGCGCGTGTGGACGCTGCCGGACGGGAGGCGGCCGCGCTCGCTCGGCTCGTACCGGCGCGGTCTTCTGCGGCTGGCCGGGCCGATCGGCCTGTTGACGCGCCACCGGTCCGGCTGCAGCAGCGGACCGTGCCTGCAGACGTGCGCCAGGCAGTCGGACAAGTTCGCCTCGCTCTCGGTGCCGATGCCGCTGCCAGACCTGGAGGGCTTCCGCTCCATCTTCGGCGTCATTTGCGTGGCGTTCTCGGCCCTGGGCGTGCTGGTGGCCCTCATCTGCCTCATCTACTTCAACGCGTCGGCCAGCCGCATCTGCCGCTCGCCGGTCGACTGCCAGGTCCTGATCGGCTTGATGCTTGTCTGCTGTGACAACGCTGCCTTCCTGCTGCAGCCGAGCGCGGCCGTCTGCGGCACGCGCCGCTTCCTCACTGGCTTCGCCTACGCCACCGTTTACTCGGCGCTGCTCGTCAAGGTGATCCACCTGTGGCGTGTCCGCGGCGGCCGCTCCGACGAGCTGTCGCAGCGCGGCGCGCTGCTGCTGGTCGCGCTGTGCCTGCTGGTGATCCAGGCGTTGCTGGCCGCCGCATGGCTGGTGCTCTCGCCGCCGCGTGTCGAACTGCTCGACGCCGCGTACCGCTGCTCGCCGGCCGGCCGCTTCGAGCAGGACCTGGCCGTGTCGCTCAGCTACGTGCTGGTGCTGAAGCTGATGTTGGCCTGCTTCTGCATGGCCGGCTGGCGCAGCGCCGAAAGCCACCACGAGCCGCGCTGGCTACTGGCTACGGTGGTGGTGAACAGCGCCATCTGGACCGGCTGGCTCGGCGTCGCCCTCTCCTGGCCGCAAACGAACAGAGACAACGCCACCGTGCTCTGCAATCTCGCCTGCACATGCGTCTTCTTTGTCTGCCTCTACTTAAGGAAGGTGAGCGGAGCGGACCGCCGCTAATGTTTGCATTTTATTCACAGTGTGTTGACAGCTCTTGATGACGATTCAGTCTCAATATTAGCTGCCATCTCTGCACTCAACTTCTCAGGTGTCACAGATTTGTTTTCATCCGCATGATTTGCTTTTCAGGTGTTGTTGTTCAACTACCTTTGGCGAAATCCGGATGATCCGGAGCTCCACTCGCCCATGACGGTGTCTACCATCAACAACTCGTTCCTCATGCAGATGCCAGCAAAGCTGAAGAACTTCTCGTTCGTTCGAACCCCGCAGCTGTCGGAGAGAATACAGGGTAGGTCCGTCCGGTGCAAATCGCTGTGAACGGGGGGGGGGGGGGGTAGGGGTAGGGGGGGAGGGGGTCCGGCTGAAAAACTGTGACTCAGAGGTTTGCTCCGTATGGTCGCAGTGGACTGAAGCCTGCCAAATCCGAGATGTGTTTCTGCATACTACTCGTACCCTGCCCGTGTAATTTGTCCTATTCCATTTTGCGCAGAGAACGCGCGCACTTGGAACCCATCGACGGAGGAGAACAGCGCGTCACTCAGCTTCGCTGACGACGAGAGCATGGACCTGGACCGGTCCCTGTCCGTGCACGAGTTCCCACTGGCGGAGGAGCACAGCCGCACGGCCGCCGCCTGTTTGCACGTGGTGAGACCCATCGACAGAGGAGCAGTCCCGGCCGGCCACCCGCCGACACGCCTGGGCCGGCGCCGTCCGTGGCGCACCACTCCGGTCATTACCGACCTCTAGATTAATGAATTGTGATCAGGGTGTTCAGTCCAACGCAGCTTAACGAACCAAGCTTAGTTCAGCGCGTAGAAGGTGCATTGTGAATATAGCACTCAACATAACTCGGCCTAACGAAAGAAATATGGAATTTTCGGAAGGAGAGAGACGAGGTATTCATACCACGGATGAAATAGCTGTTCGGCGTAGGCTCCTCGTCTGGTGCATGCGTGCCTTCGCTGTGCATCCTTATATGCTGGCGGGAACGTCAGTTCGAACCAGGATTCCATCCGCGTCAGAAACCTAGTTCAGTGCATTGCGTCAATGTACTCCCAGTGGTACCTTCGGCTCCCACAATAGTGATTGTCGTTCAGGATCCAGCATCGCCAATGCTGACATTGCTGCTGGCTGAGTCTGCCGGCGCCTAAGTTGGCCGGGGTGTGTGGCCGTGTGACCCCGGGATGTGTGGCCGTGTGACCCTGAGGTGTGTGGTCGTACGACCATTGGATGTGCAGCCGTGTGGCCCTGGGTGTGTGGCCGTATGACCCTAGGATGTATGGCCGTGTGACCCTGGGGTGTGCGGCCGTGTGATCCTGGGGTGTGTGGCTGTGTGACCCTGGGCGTGTGGTCGTATGTCCCTGGGGTGTGTAGCATTGCGACCCTGAGGTGTGCGGCCGTGTGACCCTGGGGCACGTGGCCGTGTGACCCTGGGGTGCGTGACAGTGTGACTCTGTGGCAGTGTCCTAGAATTGCCGACTTTGGGTGTAAAGCAACACCCTATGAGGAGGAATTTTTCACTCCTTTTCCCAACATTTTATGTGAATTTTTCACTCCTGCCTGACATTGTTTAATCGTACATGCCAAACCCCTATTTCCCTTTCTGAGGTTTTCAGATGTCATCCAAAACTGAGCTCACTTCAAACCACCAAGCATAAACGAGGCTCCACAGAACCTGGACACCTACCGTCCACACCGAGACCGGAACCGGATATAGAGCCGGAACCACACCACCTGGCTATGTCCTGCCTCACCTACATCTGAATCATATCTATGTGTGCACAGAGCAAGGGCGCCAGGTACCTCCAAGCCCAAGAACCCCAGCGACCCCAGCCGCCTGCACGCATTAAGTTTGGTTCGTTAACAAAATGCATCACCATCGGCAGCTGTGCGCCAAGTGCGAGGTTTTCATGCATCCCCTATTTTTCGGTCTCACCACCACACCACGAAGGCAGAGCCTGGTACAAACACCAGCAAGGCCTGGTAGAGAATTTTACTCCACGTTTTTCTTTTTTCCGAGGAAACTTGACCACTAAACTGCATCACTCCCGAAATGCAGGAGTGAAAAGTTCAAGAAATATCTTTTAAATTAAACTTACAAAATGAACATCACCATTTGAGCACTTCTATTAACAGATTTTAAGTCGAATCAGCTGATTACAAAATTTTGCGAGAAAAGTGCGAGTCTTTATATTTATTTAGCTACTTTTGTTTTTCTTGGTATCATATCAGTGTGATACACTTTGTTCTTCCCTCCTTTTCGATTGTCTTTAGAGGTACCATCTGCTGCTTAAAATGTTCACCAATATCTCTGCAAGATGCTCCAACTGCAAACTTGTACGTATTTGATGCATAAATTGGATGAATTCGCCAGGCGCCCAAACATGTTTGATATGCACCCAAGTGTGAATAATGCACAGGGAATGAAGGAGACAATTTCAAGCAGGGAACTTACTTTTACTGCCATTTTTGCCCTCTTCAACCTTCGGTTAACCGTTTTCTGGGTTCATGGCGGTGCTCAGTAATGATAAATCCAAGCCTTTCGAGTGCCTGACTCGCGAGGCTACCTGTCAAGGCTATTATAATGCTGCCATATGGAGCCTTGAGACAGACCTGACGCAGCTAATACAGAAGTGTTTGATGGCGAAATTCTGCCCTCCAGATGTGTTTATCATGCAAACCTCTTACTTGTTTCGCATTTTTGTCTCGAAGGTTGGTGGGCATGATCGATATTTATATTTGGCGGTGAGTTGGATGACCCTGTCTGCCAGCGGGCCATGGAAAAGGTACTGCATTTTTGTTCTTGGGGGAGCAGGAAGAAGCCAGGAAGTCCCCTGTGGACCAAGTAATTGCTTACCTTACCTGCTTTCAACACATGATTGGTAACCAAAGTAAGCCATTTTCTGTTTTATTCCATCGAGTTTTGCCATAAGACAAATTATGGTGCCACAAGGCATGGGTCAGGGTGTACATTGCCACCTCGTTAAAAAGAGCATTGCACATCAATCGTCGTTTTTAAGGCAAAACATATCGTAGTTAATCGTAAAGCAGGTCATTTAAACTCTTACCTTGGAACTTAAATAACTACGATAGCGAACATTCGAGCGCCGCAAACACGCACCAACCGCGAACCCGGCGCCATTGCTACGCGTGATCACAACATTACTGCGTGATCACAATATTACTGCGTGATCACAACATTACTGCGCAACAAGAAGCATAAAAATGTACGAGGCCAAGGCAACAAGAATCCAATGAAATAGGTTTATCGCGTATTCGAGCAGTCTTCCGTAATGTTTGTAGATTGGTCGACACGGTGGGGAAATATGACGTTTTTGGGTGGGAATGAAAAGCAAAATGAGAATATGGCAGCTAAACAAAACTTCTTAATATGGTACATATATGTGGCATGGAACATGGATGCCAATGGGACACCGGGTTGACGGGGACAGGGGGGGGGGAAGGCTAGGTTAGGTTAGGTTAGGTTAGGTTAGGTTAGGTTAGGTTAGGTTAGGTTAGGTTAGGTTAGGTTAGGTTAGGTTAGGTTAGGTTAGGTTAGGTTAGGTTAGGTTAGGTTAGGTTAGGTTAGGTTAGGTTAGGTTAGGTTAGGTTAGGTTAGGTTAGGTTAGGTTAGGTTAGGTTAGGTTAGGTTAGGTTGGGCTATGTTCTGGACTTTTCTTGCCTGTCCGTTTCGTAAACGTACCTAGACACGATAAGGAACGTTTTTCATTGCATTATTATTGTTATTTTGGCACCGTGCATTTGTTATGGTTCTTGATAAGCAGAAATGTTGTATTTACGTAGCGATAACGCAGAAACCAGGGCAATACAACACACGCGGAAACGGCGTTGGAGGGTCGAGGCGGTGGGGTGCGTGCGGCGCTCGGAGTTCGCTATCGTAGTTATTAAAATTCGAAGATATGGGCATGAATCTATATTTTTACGACTATTTACGATATGTTCCGCCTTAAACAAGACGAATGATGTCCAATGATTTTTTCTAACATTAGGTACCAATGTATACCCACACTGTGTTTTGATTTGTGTTGTCAACTTTTTCGGATGTGAACGAGCATACACAAATGAACTGAATAAAAATGCAAGTTGAAACCAGCCAAAAACTAGCTCTAAATATCATGTTTTATCACAAGTGCTGCTGTCAACAGATAAGTGAGTTGAGATGATGTTCATCCTACGGGCTACTACAAGTTAGGTTAATTTGGTCAAGTGCATGGTAAGTGGAAATAGGAATTGTGCAAGAATCGGTAACTCACAACTGCTGCTGTGATACAAACAGATTATGCAGGATGAGATGCTGTAAGGCCTCTTTAGGTTAGGCATAGGCTACTTTCATGGAAATCAGCCTCGGTATTTTGTTAAAAGAAAACAGTGACAAAATGTTTGTTTTCCCTGACCCCATCTCAACAGAAGCCAGAAGTATGTCTTTTGTGTTTGACTTGGTGATGGACTGATGTGTAAGAGTACAATTTTTTTTGTTTGAGTGTTTTATGGTTGTTGAATTTTCTGTTGTTTTGTTATTGAATTCCTTTGCTTTATTTTGTTTTAAAAGTGCTGTGGGAGGGAATTAAAAAGTGCATCAAATTATTGGTGTTGATAAGTTGTTATTCTCATAATACTGTCATGAAATTACCATGCTTTAACACGCGCCCGGTTGGCCGGCTAGATACCCTTCGCTCGGGTGGGGGGGGGGGATCAGTTTGACCCCCTCTGAGTTCTCGGGAACTAAGAAAGCTAGAGACACCAAATTTACCGTGTGTCTTGACCTACACATGAACTCACTTAGATTAAGGTTTCCGCTTCCTAGATCATGACCTTCAGGTCAAATAAGGTCAAACAAGGTCAAATTCCAGGTTGGTCTCCAAAGCACCCCCAGAACCTAGGCAACTGTCTCTAAGCAAGAGGTCACAAGCCCACTCGAGATCATTGACCTTGTTTGACCCTTTGAAGGTCATGATGACCAAAATGATACAAGACTGCTCTGCGTTTTGCATTTGAATAAGCGACAAAGACTACGCTAGGCAGTATGTTCCTAAAACAAAACTTTCGACCCGGGTCATCTTAGGTCAATGGCCTGTTCTGACCTCTAAGAAGTCAATTGAAGATATATAAGGCGGTTCCTGCCGTCAATTGTCAATAAATTTGAAATGAGCACCAGAAACTATCCCATACAGCAAGCCATAGAGTAATAAATCAGGTTGGTTTTGACCTTGGCCTGACCATCATACCTCACCTTGGGTCAACGTAATTTGCTCATTCAATATTTGAGGTGCCTAAAAAAGCATCTCAGAGATGCATGTCTTCGTCAAACACTCCGTTGCTGTATCAGATTGAACGATTCCCTAAAAATTGCCTTCGCTGAAACCATGAGCTGACTTTGACCTGCCATAGATCAGCGACCTTGTAAGGTCCATGTAAAATTTGCATGTCAAACGATCCGCTATGCAATTTTCTACAGCTATACAAAACTTGGCGCGGCTGCGCCGTGCAGTTCAGAAACCTTTCGAGAAAAGCCCTGGGGGGAGGGGGCAATTTGCCCCCCACACCCGAACGCGTGTTAATATATTCTGTTTCACCTTCATGGCCTAAGATGTTAAAAACGAAATAGTTTTGTCAGGTTCCTGATATTGCGTCCATGCCAACTTGAAATAGATGTGTTTGCTGAAGCATCAGTCATGAGCTCAGAAGTTCCATCTTTTGTGAATTGATTTTTTCACTCCCGCACGGTATTTTTGCGATGGAATTTTTCACTCCCACCCTGGTTCAAAAGCGACTCTAGCTCCCTGCTCTGGGGTGCATGGCCGTGTGACCCTGGGGTGTGTGGCCGTGTGACCCTGGGGCATGTGACCATGTGGCCCTGGGGTGCGTGGCCGTGTGACCTTGGGGTGTGTGGCCGTGTGACTGGGGCGTGTGGCAGTGTGACCCTAGGATGTATGGCCGTGTGACTCTGGGGTGTGCGACCGTGTAATCCTAGGGTGTAAAGCAGTGTGCCCCTGGGGTGTATGACGATGTGACTATAGGGTGTATAACCGTGCGACCCTAAGGTGCGTGACAGTGTGACTGTGGGGTGCATGGCCGTGTGACCCTGGGGCGCCTAGCCGTCTGACCCCGGCATGTGTGACCGTCTGACCCTGGGGTGTGTGGCCGTCTGATCCTGAGGCGTGTGATCGTCTGACCCTGGGGTGCGTGACAGTCTGACCCTGGGGTGTGTGACCGTCTGACCCTGAGGAGTGTGATCCTCTGACCCTGGGGTGTGTGGCCGTTTGACTCTGAGGTGTGTGACCATGTCACCCCGGCTGACCATCTATGCTGCTCCAGGAGGCCGTCACTAGCAGCTCTGAGAGCGAGGACATGGACCACTACGACACGCCCAAGGCGCTCAACGAGTTTGTCCGCCGGATGGGCGACCGCACCGTGCTGGTGCTGCCGTCGGATCACGCCGGCCAGGACGGTATGTCCCCCAACCAGAACCAATACGTCCGCAACCAAAGCAACGGCGGTACGTCCCGCGACCGTAGCAGACGGTTCATCCCCAACCAAAGCGATGGCAGTGAATCTCTGGATCGGAGCGAGGACAGTATGTCTCGGACCAGAGAGAGGACGATTTGTCTTCCCGACTAGAGCGAGGATGGTACGTGACCTTTAATAACGTAGACAGTAGGCCTCTTTCCTTCGGAGCCAGGATGGTGCCTCCGTTTTTCCCCTACCCAACATGAGGATGGTATGCATTCTCCTCAAAGCGACAACAGCTCATCAATCTTTTCTTGACCGATAGCGGCACATGTCCCTCCCCACGGCGAACGCAGCGCATAGAGCGCATGTCCCTTTTCAGGGGGAGGGCGGCGCGTGTTCCTATTCCAAAACGAGAGCGGTGCATGTACCCACCGGAGGGCAAAGACGGCACGTGTGCCTATCTTGGAACGAGGTCGGTGCATCTCCGTCCCTCAGAGCCAGAACGGCAAGGCTCCCGCCTCAGGAAGCGAAGGTAGGCACTGTTTGACGGAGCGACGGTGTTACGGCCACGCTGTACGGCACGGACGATATGCAGTTGCGTTGATGCCCTCCCCTTCCTCTGATGACCGGACCGGGCGAATGGTGGCTTTCTACAGCCAACCAGTGCCATGTCTGTGTCGTCGTGGCGTGATGAGCGCGGAGTACACCTATAGTGGACACCCAACTCCAGCGCGCGCTGGTTCGTCTGGCCCACTCTAACGTGCTGCGGTTTGATCATCCACCAGAGGACTCGAAGATCTGAGGCCGGACGGCACCCCCGCCCCACTCGTCTCCGCCGCTCAGCAGTCCGGCCCGTCGATCGCGACGCCCGAGCACGGCCGACACCGGCTACTGGTGCGGTGCCGCCAGACAGACATACCTCGTGCGCATTCCAGGTGAAAGACAAAGCCTTGCGTCACGAAAGGCAGTCCGCAGGAGCGCGGTGTGCATGGCGTCGGAACACAAGATAGCAGTGACGCCCCGCGAGAGTACACTCATCGCGGCACTAGCCGAGCGCGTGTGGCGCGAGTGTGTGCTGTGGTGTCTAATCAATACCGCGCCGCAACGCAAGCAACCGTCCAACCATTACATGATGCTCGTTAATGCTTTAAACTGGTGCAGCAATATATGAATGTGTGTAGTGTGAAACACTTGCTCTCTAGCGTTGGTGGCGGTGACGCAAAGGAACCAATGGTGACTGTTGGATCGGCAATCAGCTGACGCACTGAGAATGAGCAGACCGCCATACCGAGCCCGTGCCCACAGTACTGCTAGCCTACAATGAAGCTGTCCAATCGAACACATGTACCCAGGACCAACACCGCTTCATCAGTTATGCATGATTATCACGACTGCCATGACTTATTCCAATGATCTGTGGTTGGACATGAGGTGTAGCATCGTGACACAGAAGCGTCCTACAAATTACGCACATGTGGTGCGTCGCTTCGTCCACACTGCCGAGACAATACTATCACCACCTCATCCGTGATCTGCACTTAGCACCTTCCGGCTTGGTCCCATGCGGCCCTTTGGTACAATTGACGGAAATTGCGCATGCGTTCACCACCCCGCGGAGGATACAAATTGCTCTATGCAAGCCTCCGTGAGCGCGATCTGTATTAGCATTCACACCGCGATGAATATGACGGACCATTATGCCTGCCTCACGTCGCTTTCCACATTGCTCCTGCCGTCGCCAGGTATGAGCGCCGCCCGGACGGACGACCGGCGCTCATACCTCGGACGGCACCAACGACGGCGCCTGCAGACGCGCCGCCCGCCGCTCCAGGTACCGCGCGCGCGCCTCCTCAAGTGCCGCGCCCACCGTGCGCTTGTCGTACAGGGCGCGCCGGCGGGCCTCGCGCTCGGCGAAGGAGGCCCTCGGGGCCGGGGCCGGGGCCGAGGCCGGAGCCGGAGCCGGAGCCGGAGCCGGAGCCGGAGCTGGATCCGGAGCCGGAGTCGGAGTCGGAGTCGGAGCCGGAGTCGGAGTCGGAGCCGGGGCCGGGGCGGTTGGGGCGGTGTCCGAGTCGGAGCCATCCTCCGCAGAATCCGGGTCGTGGCTGCCGGCTGCCCTGGGCGCGGGCGCCGGCCGCGCGGCTTCCACGCCGGTCGACCAGTCACCGGCACGCCGCTGGCGCCGCTCACCGCTGCGCGAGCGTCCTCGGTGTCTGTCAGCGTCACCAGCCCTATCCCTGCACCTGTCAGCGCTGCGGGAGCGTTCCAAACGCCTGCCGCCGTTCCCGACATGGTTTCTGCGCCTGTCGCTACTACCCGCCCGTTCCCTGCAATGGTCACCGCTGCGGGACCTCTCCCTGCGCCCCTCACCGCTGCGCGAGCGTTCGCCGCCGCCAGCGTGCCTGCCGTCTCGGCTGCGGGGCCGGCCCAGCGCGCGGCCCTTCCGCCGGTCGCCGCTGCCGGAGGAGCGCCGGTCCCGGCTGCGGCGGCAGCGCTCGCCGCCGGCCGCCGGTCCGGTCTCGGGCGAGGAGGAGACCCGCCGCGGTCGGTACTGCCGTCCGCTTGACTCGGCCGGCTTCTGCCACTGGGCGCTCGCGGCCGCACCGGCCCGCAGTGGAGTGACCGGCTCCTGTTTGACGGCCGCCTCGGGGGGAGGGGTCCCAGCCTGCCGCGTCACCTCTGCCGGCTCCAGCTCCGTCTTCCGTGGTGAGCTGGCCTGGTGGAACATGTGCCGGTAGAAGCTGCCCAGGTCCTTCTGCTTGGTCACGTCCGTGAGATCTGCGAATTTTAGAGCAGAAAATTAAGGTGAAAAGTACGGGAAAATCAGATGATCCTGTCCAAGACTACCGTCTGACGTAGTGCGTCCAACTAGCAAAGCGAACGTCAAGTTTTATTACACCTGCTGACACACACATTGTTGTTGATTGGAGTCTTAGGGCGCACCGACTACTGTAATCACTTTGCGCCCATAACAGCTAAATGACTACCTACGCCGGTAAATGGCTAAAAAATAGATTAGTCAGAAATGAAAACGGCTGAGTTGTGACAGGAACACGGCACCAATGATGTCCGAATACGTGAACCCACAATAACATATTAAAACGAAATTTTCCGCAACCTAAAAAATTCCTGCACGCGGTATGAACTATTCAAGCAGGTGTATATAAAGTGCAGAACTTAACGCGCGATAGGAACCTGAGGGTATGTCCGATATATGGTGAGCTGTCACATAGTAAATCGGAGAGCGTCAGGGACGGCGCCGCCGGGCCAAAGTACCTCAGACGCTCGACGCGTAGTATGGGACAGCATACGAGCACATGTTCCACTGTGAGCGTGGTGTTGCAGTGGCGACATCGTGGTAGTTCGTCACGACATAGCAAGTATCGATATGTAGCATACGTATAGCCAATCCGCAAGCGACACGGGATTACTTCCTCCCGTCTAGACTTTCGATAGGATGACTGCCATTCCTGAACAATCGGCTTAATGCTTTTAAGTTTACTGGTGCCCATCGCATCCCATGTGCTCTGCCATTCCCCGCGCAAAAAGGCAGAGATGGCCACGTATAGGTCTGTAGCGGGTATTGGAAACACTCTGCGACAGGGGCGACGAGTAGCACGCTTGGCGGCAGCGTCAGCCAGCTCATTTCCCGCAATTCCAACGTGGCTCGGAATCCAGCAAAGTACTATGGTCTTGCCAGCCCGGTACAGAGAGTCGAGACGCAGTAAAATATCCTGTATAAGGGGATTTACCGGATTAAAACGCCTTCATGCCGAAAGGGCACTTAGGGAATCCGACAAAATCGCGTGCAGACTGTCTTCGCCTACCTCTATAAGGCAAAGCTCCTTAATGATGGCCACAAGCTCTGCAGTGTACACGGACGAATGGGTTGGCAGTGTAAATGATCGCGTATCGGAACCACACACAAAAGCGGAACTAACACCCGTATCCGTTTTGGAACCGTCTGTATACGTAATTGTGAACCCCCGATATGTTTCGATATGCTTCAGAGCTGTTGATCCGGCAACATACGGAATCATATTTTGCTTCCGAACCTCCGACAATGAGACGTCGACAGTTGGCGACACGATCACCCACGGAACGGTCGGCAGGCTGCGTGGGCGTGCCACACCCCGAAAACTTGAGCCACTCTCATGAAGAAAATTACGAACATGCACACAGAACGGCGCCACACGAGTTGCTTGTTCGGACTGAAAAAAACATCAGATGTGTTACGTGAGAACACAGCGTCATGTGTTGGGTGGTTCGGGAATTGCGCGGGCTTACAAGCGCACAGCATCCCCAACAACTGCCTTCGGGTAGCCGGCGAAGGTTTGTTGGCTTCCACAAGCAAGCTGGGTGTCAGAGACGCACGAAATGCATCAGTAATGATTTTCAACGCAGCATGACGGACCGCATTCAATGCACGTTTTGCGGACTCCGAGGCGCCATCATATACAAAACGCGCATAGTCCCGCTTGGAGCATATCAGTGAACGGTATAACAATAAAAGTGTTTTCCGATCTGCTCCGTAGGATGTTCGCGTCACGCATTTCAATATGTTCAGTGTCTTAAAACACTTATCATGCATGATGATAAGATGCTCCTTGTAGGTCAAACGCTTATCAAAATGTAATCCCAAAAACCGTGCCGCCGTATTGCAGGGGATCGACTGTCCATAAAGCTTAAGCACCATGGCGAGGCACTGACGCCGGCGTCGACAAAAGTGGACGGAGACTGTCTCGAGGTCGAAAACCCGTTGACCATGCTATCTTTCTAAGCCAGCAACAACCAACTGCACCTGGCACGACATGGACGCTGCCATGGCAGAGCTGCACAAGATCGTGAAGTCATCAACAAAAAGCGAGCGACCAATCGCCTGGGTAAGACTGTCCCCAACATCATTTATCATGACGGCAAACCACGCCAAAATTAGAACACTGCCCTTGGGTATGCCGTTCTCTTGGGTGTATATTTCGAGCATATGGAACCAACAAGCACGCAGAAGAAACGGTCAGCAAGACAGTTCGCAAGAAGGGTACCCATAGCTCCGCGTACGCCATAATGGAACAGCTTCCGTAAGATGCCATATCGCCCGGTGGTGTCGTAAGCCCTTTCGATATCGAAGAACGCAGCTCCTACGTGTCGCCTTTCCCTAAAAGAAATGCGCACAGTTGAGTCCAAGGCTAAAAGATGACCAATGGTGATACGGTTTTTCCTGCAACCACACTGCGCGTTCGACAAGATATTGTTGCTTTCTAAAAACCAAGACAATCGTGTCTGAACCATCCGCTCCAAAAGCTTGCACATAGAGGTCAGCGCAATCGGAAGGCAGTCCGATGGATCATTCCCATTCTTACCAGGCTTCAGCAGCGGAACTATTAGCGACTCTCGCCAAGACGAGGGGAACTCTCCTGTCTCCCACAACTGGTTGAATGCCACCAACATAGCTTGTGTTGCTGTTGGTGGGAGTCGCCGGAGCATATCATAATGAATGAAATCTGGGCCTTCCGCCACGCTACGCACATAGTTAATGGCAGACATCAGTTCAAGCACTGTGAAAGGTTTGCTACATGAAAACTCTTCGGATGTTTGAAAGTTTATCTGGGCTGCTTCGCAACGAGCACGATGGCGCATGAAATCAGGAGCGGCAGTTGTTCGCCCACAACGCTCCGCGAACGCACAAGCCATTTCATTCGCCACCTTAGGTGGGTCCAATATGTCCTGGCCATCCATACAGAGCACCGGGTGCGGCAGAGGAGTGTTGGCTTGCTATACGCTTCACCCGCGCCCAAACCACCGAAGCCGGTGTTTGGCAATTTAGCTGGCCCACATATAAACGCCAAGACGTGCGTTTGCCTCCAAGATAGTACGTCGGGCTGCCGCCCGAGCTCGTCGAAAAGCGATTAAGTTGTCCGTAATGCTGTGTCGATCAAAGTCTCGCAAGGCTTTTTTACGCGCAACGTATAGCGTCGCGGCACTGGTCCGTCCACCACGGAACAGGAGGACGACGTGGGGCACCGGATATACGTGGTATACTTTCTTCTGCCGATCGTAAGATTGTAGAGGTGAGTTCCTCTATCGATGCAGGCACATCTACCCAAACGGAAGCCAACCTGGTTTCCACCCGTGCCTGAAATTTATCCCAGTCAGCCTTTCTAAGATTCCACCATTGTGACCTGGAACCGAGAGCTGCTCCGTTCTGGTCACGCAACCAGATGGGGTAGTGATCACTACCAAAGGAGTCGTTGTCAACCGACCATGACAGGTGTACCGCCAGTTGGGGGCTTGGAAAACTCGAGTCCAGCGCCGATGTCTGACCTGACGGCAGCGTCATGCGAGCTCGGGTCCCGGTGTTTAAAAGACAGAGAGATTCATCATGTAAAAAAGCTTCGCAATGCCTGCCGCGAGCGTTGGTCTGAGCGCAACGCCAAGATGCGTGGTAAGCATTGAAGTCACCCGGCAAAAAAGAGGCGGGCTCGGCCACCAAAAATCTCATTTCTGCCTTCGGAAATGGAGTGCCAGGAGGTAAGTAAAGCAAGCACACGATAATTGCACAACGCCCGAACAGTGCCTTAGCTGCAGCAGCTTGCAGGTTAGAGAGTAATATGGCGCGTTGTACGGAGACACTGTGGTGCGCAGCCAAAAGAACTCCATGTGCAATTGGATCAGCTGGCGTATCCCGACGCATTAGGGTGTAGCTCGGGATACTTTAAGTGAGAGCCAGGTGCCAGTTTGGTCTCCTGCAGGCAGGCGATGGCCGGACAGCGCTGATTCAGAATGACTCTGAGATCGTGTAGACCAGTTCTCACACCCCTGCAGTTTCACTGTAAGATACTCGTCATAAAGCTAAGAAGTGAGGGTAGCCATCACGCACCTAGCTCACCAGCACAGCGCGCAGAATATCGCAGTCAATACGCTTGCAAGGGGGCGTACTAAAAAGGGGTCGAAGTCACAATTTAAAACGCGACACGGTTCAAAAGAACTGGGCTGCACCAGTTGCAGGACCGGACACCTCGATCTGGGAGTTCCGGCTCGATTCCGTAAGGCGGTGCTCCACTCGGGGCCGAATCCTTCGGCTTCCTCCGTCAGATGGAGACGGAGGACCGGATGGAGGGGGGGGGGGGGGGGGCGCTTTGTGCCAGCGTACCCAATCCTGGGTGGTGGAGGGGGAGGACCCATGGATGGAGCCCTGCCAGACATCTGAGGACCAGCCGGGGGCTCAACTGGTCCTCTGGGCGATGGAGCACTGCTGCGGGGGACGGACTCCTTGCCCGCCCCAGACATACGGTTCGCCGCTTTTGCCCGTTCTTGTTCAGCCAAGCGCGCCCGCTTGGAATCGCGGGCGCGCCTGTCCGCCTCGCGTCGCTCCAACGTTTCTATCGCCAGCCCGCATGCGTTCACTAATGGTGTTGGAGGTGAAGAGGGCAGCAGAGCACACGAAGCGGAGGCGGACGAGGGTGGCGAAGACACCGATGCGGAGGCCGGTGGAGCACGAGGACCACGGCCACGCTGGACCACCGTCCAACCCCCCTCTCCGGCAGGAGACAACGGTACCGTGGGAGTCGGTAACACGGAGGGTGCCGACCGGCCAGGGGGCGAGGAGGCTGGCAGCACGGTCTCCTTCGACCGCTCCAGCGAGGAATGGGGGGCCAGGGCTGCCAGATTGGAGTCCAGTGCCTGGTTTGTCGACACAACCAAGAGCGCTACAAACTGAGCAGCGGTCATTTGATCGGTGGGGGTCGGACGTGTGGTGGGGATCTTAGCTTTTTCGGCGTATGATGTTCGAGGGTGGCTCTCCTCGTGCAGTGCTCTGGCCTCGCGAAAAGAGATGTTGCGAGTGGTCTTAATCGATATAATTTCTTTTTCCTTCACGTACGCTGGGCACGTGCGGCCGCTAAGTCGAGTGCAAAGCCTGGTCTTTGTTACAGTCCACACAACACGCTCTGTCTGAATCGCAAAATTCCGTTGTGTGCTCGGAAGAAGCGCATTTCCCACAGGCAGACTCGCTGCGGCAGTATTGTTTGGTATGGCCAAATCGCTGGCAGTGGAAGCATCGCATGGGGTTCGGTATGAAAAGGCGCACCTTGACACGTGCGTATCCAACGCGTATTTCAGAAGGTAGATCGGGGCGACTGAAAGTCAAGATGAAGTTATTTGTCGGCAGCTGTTCACTTCATTTTCTAGTGGAGCTCCTACGTGCGGCAGTGACGCCGAACACAGACAACTCGTCAGCGATCTCTTCTCTTCACTAACGTCACGCAAGTCAAAGCAGTTGATTATTCCCCTGGATGCATTTTTTTTTTTGTCAGGTGTGGTGTCACTCGGATAGGTACAGAAACGTCACGTTTGCCATCCTTGTCCCGAACCCAGTACGTGAATTCGGCTACAGCCATCGCATGATAAGCCTCTGCTCCGTTAAAAAACTCTACCTCTAGCCCTTCATCACGCAATTTGTCGCACCGAACCACATTTCCAAATCGATCACACCCGTTCTTCCGCTGAAACGGCGAGAGACGACAGCCTCGTCTTATCAGTCTTATCACTTTGGAAAACCAAAATTCGAGGAGATGGCGAAGATTCCCCGATGCTTTCTGTTCTGAACGTGGTCCTTCCCCCTTTCCGGGGTCGAGTGTTTTTTTTGGTTAGAAGATGCCATGCAAGTTGTCCGTGAAGTTTCGGCACCGGGGCTCCCCATCCACCACGGAGCCCAACTGGGGGACGGCCCAACACTCCCTCGGGAGGCGGTCGCCGCTAGGGCTACCCGGTGCTATACGGGGCGAACGATGCCTCCCGCACGGCCAAATGTACCCAGGGAGACCCTTCCTCGGCCTTAGCGTGGTTCAGCGCCGCCGCCTCTTGACCACTCAAGCCGCTGCGCGCGGCCAGACGTCCCAAGCGGAGACCCGCAAGGAGCACCCAACCACAACGTGAGCGACAGGCCACTGGACCCGTATGGGGCCCCACGGCCCCCCACGCCCCCGGATGTCCTGGGCAAAGTTGAGTACGACGCGCCCCTCAGCCACCAGGATCCGATCAACCCGGGGACGCGGGCGAGGGGGCACGGCGACCCCGATAAAACGAGGATGAGGAGTGGTGGTAGGACCGGATACAGGAAAGCGGGTAATGGGAAAGGAGCGGGCGGGTCAAGGAGCGGGAGCTCACGTACCGGCAGGGTCGCTACGCCCTGAGAGGAACAGCTTGCGCTGTCCACCCGTTACCGGAGCTGGGACCCGAGGGGGCGCTAGTCCCCTACACCGGCCGAAGCCGGAGCCCCTGCGGGGTGATACACACATGCACATGTACAAAGTCTTTAGAAAATACATGCAGAGAGAGCACATATAAATAGGTAAACAATGAAACCAGTTTCCCAGCACGATTACCCACCGTAAGCCCAATCCCGCCCTAGCACCATACAGCAAGAGGCATCATCTCAACAGTCGAGAGCCCAAACAATGACGGACCTACGTCATCCCCCACCTTCGATGTGCTTCCTGCGACGTTCCTGCTCCTCCTCCTTCTCGCGCTCGAGCAGGCGCTTTTTGTACGCTTCGGTCACAAACGCCTCCTTGTCGGCAAACTCATCGCCTTCCTGCTCGCGCTCGCGCTGTACCTGCCGCTCCATGCGCCGCTCCTGCTGGTGCCGCCTCTGCTCGGCCGACTCCAGCAGCTTCTGCATGTAACGCGGCTGGCCAACAGGAGCGGAGTCAGCGAACACACTCAGACCGGCAAAGGCGGAGTCCGCAAACACGCTCACACCGACAAGGGAGGAGTCAGCGGACACCCTCACTCCCGCAGGGGCGGAGTCAACGAACATGTTCACGCCGGCAGGGACGGAGTCGGCGGAGACGCCCACGCCGTCAGGGCACACGCAGGGGTCAGGGACGACGGGGCAGATACCGAGGGGTCAGGAAAGGAGAGCGGACGGAGTACACAGAGGCAACAGAGCCGATACCGAGGGGTCAGGGGGCGGACGGGGAGTACACGGGGGGTCAGGGGCGGCGGGGCGGATACCGAGGCAGGGAGGAGGGGGGGGGGGGGGGGGGGGGAGGGAGGAGCGGAGCGGACGGAGTACACGGGTGGTCAGCAGCAATGGAGCAGACACAGGGATCCGAGGGGGTGGAATGGATGCAAACTGCAATACATGCCACGGACAGACTCGTTATCTAAACACTCCGGGGGTACCAGGCGACACAAAGACGGACGGTGTCACGTGCACACGGTCGGAGTGACCGGGTAGACACAGCGCATGCTATTATAATGATTCAGTCAGCCAAGGATGGCTAAGCAAAGCATTCACTGCACATTTAGGTTCATCTGTGAAATACGTCAAAACATGAAAAGTTTAACTGATAATATGTCAGATGATGGCTGTATAAAACAGACAGAAACAGTTAACATATCACTTCTATAATAAAGTGCCAGGTCCTCCAAACATCACGTTTTGAGTATCGTCACTTCTGTTGCGACCTTTTTTGTGTCCTGCTGCATAAAATTATACACAATGCTGTCATGGCATACACGCGGTAGGGTCACACATCTACCTTTTGGTCCTCTGTCTTTTTTATTTCCACCTTCTTCTGCTTTTGCTGTTGCATGCCATCATAGACCTCGTCATACTGGAAGAGCGATGCGTCCTCCTGCATGGCCTGTCTGATGACCTTACGGGTCTGAGCCGCCTGCACCGAGCCGTGCGATATTGACTGCCAGCAAAGGCGCGCAATTCCAGGTACAAGCATGGCCTTGCATCACCAACAGACATGATTCAGCACGTGTCGAGGGCGGGCACCAGGCAGTGGGCAGCGGCAACATCCTTCGGAGGATGTGAGCGTTGTGATAAGTAGATCAATACCAAATCTGGGAGCATTAGCAAACCATTCTACGGATGCGTGCAGCCACAGTTCGAGTCATTCGCCATGTGGGTGACTTCAAACAGAACAAATTTAATGATGCTTGATGAACTCCGACGCACCAGCGAGACCAATCCCCAACAGGACAATGGCAGGCCCAGCTGCCTGCAACTGAGGCCCCGTCATTGAAATGTTTAATGAAAGCACTGCAGATCATACCTTGAGGGCAGTCTTGCCCCAATGTTCTGTTGGTGCAGGTGCCTCATCACTGCTAGAATCATTGGCAAATACTGAGGGTTTAAGTGCAACACTTGGAGCCTTCTTGGCTGTCTTGATAAGCCCATATCTGTGGATATCCAGATTTTGTCAGCACAGTGCAGGTATCTTTAAGTTATCAAGTGTGATGCTGCATATTGTGATCTATATACCTTACAAACCTGCTGTTAAGTCCGCATCTCCATCTGGAATCACATAAATCATCATTCTGCATTCTATATCAGCTTTGCATGAACCAAAAAATTTCAGGTATTTCCAATGGCCAAACTGTGATATTTCTCCAACTCACCAAAGACAGACTGCATTGGAAAACCATGAACAAACCAACAAGTCTGCTACCAAGACAATGGAAATTCCAGTTTCTAAACTGAACATCAATATGTTTTCAAAAGACTTGAAACTGCATCAGCAAATTGATGAGCTTGTTCAATAAAATCAGGTGCTTGATACATGGGATACATTTGGTACTTACTGTTTTTGAGAACTTTGTCCAGAGTTCATCTTGTTTAGACTTTAAGCCCTCCAGGTGAGTGGCACAATAAATCACATTACTATGAAAGAGAATGTAATCACTACATAAGCACATGCAATTTCAAAGGTATGTATTTAATCCTTCATGCACAACACCAATTGTTACAGCCCAGGAGCCTTGGGTCAGGCCATCCCCTTACACATGGAAGTTTGGCGTTCGTTCATCTGATTAAGGTGTGCCTGTCAATGATTGATTGCTTGAGTTGAAAAAATTCCAGAACGCCTTTTCTGGGAAGACTTGTGCTCGGAAGAACTACTCCGAGAGGGCTACTCCCTGAAAGCCCCCATGATGTCCAATAGGTGACATCCAATTGTTGAGTCAGAATTTTCAAATGGCATGGGGCAGCAGCACACACTGGAAGGCCAAAACAGGTTAGGGCTGGTTGGGGTGGGATGAAAGGTCAGACAGGTGACTTGGCAGCTTCAAATACTAACAGTGTAAAATGATGAGAGCTGGATTACAATGGTTGAACTCGCCTGGATGCTGCCCAGTTCGGGCACCTGTTTTGACCTCAGCTGGATGGCATCAGGTGGGTGCTGAGCCACAACTGTTGGGCAAGTGGGATGGGAAGGAGTGGGGAAAGGAAGGTAACAAGCACTTGTAAGATGAGCCACTAGCCATTCAGGGCTAGGGAACAGAGCTAACAGGTAGGAAAGTGGGGGGGGGGGGGGGGGGGGGCAGTGGTATCATCATTTGCAGATGGGCTGGCATATCTTTTGTTCCACCTTTAAATTTCAGGAACCCACCAGGCAGACAAGAGGCTACAGATTACTGAGACCAAACATTCCTTAAATCAAAGGAAGGGCCCTCATGCCTATCTAAGAAATGCTAAAACAACAGGCAAAATTGCCAGGGAAAGGTTTAGATAAAATTTCAAATAGCACAGTACTGATATCTATACTGGAGGCTCTCAATAAGCTTGCCCTCTTCACAAAAGTTGGTGGCACCACATATTTTCATGCATAAGGGCAAACTCAGAGGTCCTCCCTGCTGAAAAGGAAAGTGAATGCTAGAATGTGGAATAATTAGCCATGGCATTGCATTAGGCTGCTGACATTGTCTGCTGCTGGTTAATGGACAGGTGATACATGATAATATTTTTCACTTTGTTTTCAATGAACAATCCAGTTTTGCATAGTAGCACTTATTTGCAAAGTATGTTGATGCATTTGCAGCCCCTCTTACTCCATCTGTGTTTCCTATGTTGGTGTCCATAATGTTTGCTGTCATCAGCCAAAGGTACCAAGGTAAAACTTTGAGCCAGGTAAATAGTGATCCTTGACTGTTAAAAAACATTAATAACATCCTGCTAACTGAATAAGACTTGAATAAACAACTGCATCCAACTCCAAGGAAAACTGAAATGGAGGAACAGTTATAGCTGTGAGGCAATTTAATAATACTTATATGCTTCTGCATGGAAAAAAAATGTGTGTACTACATCAACAGATCCCACATCAATGGGATAGTTCAATATAGCCGGCACTGCAAGATAACATGCCTAAAATGATTGCTCAAATTTTGACAGGTTATGTCCTAACAGGTAACTGACAGGTAGGGTCAGGATCATTGCCATGCACCTTGGGCTATCAACTTAGGCTAGGATCCTAAGTCAGAGTCTTAGGCCTTAGGAATGGAAAGTAATTTTGGGGGATTATTAAGAATATATTTTAAGTCTACAAAGGCAGATACAGCTCACTTCTATTCAAGAAAAACAACACACCCCTTTCTATTTTGCACCTCCAGCTTAATTCACGGCCAGACAGGTACCATCTACCTTCTCAGGAAGATCACCCCCCAACACAGACTAGTCCCATACAAGAGATATTTACCCAGCATAACCAGTGTGAAACCAGATGGAGAGCTAAAAATTGTAAAAATCACATAACTTATGAATGGCTTCTGGCCCTATCACTCTTATCTAACAAATGCAAGGCCACCAGCCTACCATGAGCACATTATCAGCAATCAGCATGCCCTACATTTAATTACCTATATTCCATACCACTTAAAGCCCAACAATTCCAATATAACCATTATTTAGCAATATGGCATGGTCTAACCAGTACCTCCTGATATATTAGGGGCTACTAAGTCAGTACAAGAATGGTCAACCCATTATGCCGAAAAACCCGGAGCTGAATACCTTTCTACCTTATACCACAAATATTTCTAATGCCAGGGGGAGGGACTCCACACCCTACAGAGGTACTGAGGATCCCGTGAAGATAAACTGCAAATATAAATGAGGCCACCAACTTGTGTTAACATAGGCAGTCCTCTGTCATACGGGAATATTCAACCGTAACTCAGAAACAATTAGTGAAAAGTTACGTGCACACTACCCTTCCGTGCAACTGTAACCGGGCAATTATTCCGTAACAAACCGGCCGTCCTAGCAGCAACCAAGGCCATAGAACAGAACCAAGAACCAACCAAGGCCATAGGCAGCAACTCGCAATCAAATGAGTATGGGGGGTGCCAAATAGTGAAGGTTTTCCACTGCCGTCGAACGAAACAAGATTCACGAGGTTGACCTCTAAATAGACTCATTTCCTCGGTTGAGCCTTGGGTTACCGGGCTGCGTTGTTTAACATCTATGCGTGCTAAACTCCGCCAGGTTTAGCACGAAGCGGTACAAAAACAAGGCTCCCCTTTAGGGACGATCCGTACTAACTATGCTCGAGGTCGTTCTGCATTTTCCCTTCTTTTGTTTTTTTAGTGTTGTTGGCGCAGCTGAGACATAGCTTTTCTGTGCACTTATACGAAAAACCCAGCTCGGATCCAGGCAGTTTGGGTTCGGTGTGACGGATTTCGGATATAAGGCTTTCATTTTTGGACCGCATCGGCAACAGGACGTTCAAGGTACAAGATGTGCGAGGAGGAACATTTAAATGTGGGAAAGCATCCAGTGTCATTATCAGAAAGTGGGCGAATTTAAATTCTGTTTATTTAGCTAATGGAATTTTTACTTTGTGGGAAAGCAGAATAATGAATTAAAAACGTTTTCTCTGAATAGTGAAACTAAGCAGGCGAAGTCCAAGAAGAGAACAACTTTTTGGATGTTGCATGTTTCAGTCATGTTGGTACAATTCCCCTCCCTCAGCTAGTTGTGAAGATATACATTTTAGTTGCCTTTCTATCTTGTTGAAGGGCTTTTTATGCTTATGCTACTGACATTGCTGCTCAAAAGTCCATACAATGATAGTTACAAATCAAGCTATTGAATCAATGCTTTCATGTTTCAGGAATATGTATTAAAATGCTGAAAACACAGTTTAAGACTATTTGAGGGCATACTGTATAGATTAGCACAAAATTGACATCCCTTTACAGCAATTTTTTTCTGCTAGGATAGTATGCTGATGTACATTATTTGCAATGCTATCAACGACATTACAAATGCAGGAATGTTTGTCTTATTTATTTGGATCTAAGATGCAAAGGATGAGAATATGACAGTCATACTTAGCATGTCTACCAAAAGGCACATATATGATGTATGATATTTGGTAATTTTGTTCAACTTAATCAGGGAAGCATTTATTTGAGAAGGAATAGCAAGTAACAATGATCATAAAATGACAGGTGTGTGCAACCTACTGCATGGTACCCCAGCACCACCTTCTCCCTCCACAAAACATCACAGAATGTGAATGACATTGGTGATCCATGCTAACTTGCATAGGATAGGAATGGATAAGGTATCATGCCAAACAATGGATTTAAAGATAGTTTGAAATGCTTGAATCAACAAATCATAACGGCCAAAATGCTCAACCCAGAAACATCATCAATGACCAATAATCAAACTATTTTAATTCCAGAGAACAGTTACTCATGATGTCATTTTACATTGTTGGCTAAAGGAATTTTCTGAATGCCCATTGGCCTCAGTTTCATGCATACTGGGCTGAAAAGTTATGTTCTGGAATGTTGTGAATATAACCACCTTTGTGAAGCCCAAGTGATTCATTATTAGCATGACTGACTGACATGACTGACATGACTTCATTAGCATGACTGCATTTTCATTGTGCATCTTTTATAAACATATTTGCTGTAGTCTCTCTAACTTCAATCTTTACTTAATTGTTTGAGTATTAGTGCCCCACAACCAAATTCAACTAATGGTAGCCAGTCACCTGATTTGAGAGAAAACAGTTGGAAGGGGATTTGTGTATGTTGTAATACTTCCATAGACCCAGCATGTTCATTGATGTATGATAATGTTCCATTGGTGGCAGTTGTGTCATCAAAATTTGATATCTGTGGGGCCACCTGATGCTCTGCAGGGTAACAGGTGGTGATTCTGGTGGCCAGACCATTACCATGATATGCTTTTTCATTGGTACCAGGAGGGCAATGCAAGGTCCATGGGGTGACCTTGACACCCTCAGCCTTCCCCCATTCCCCATTGATAGAACTCTTAATTGGTTATTCACCATGAACAATTAACCAAAATTACATGCTGCAAAATTTGGTGGTTGGTTTGATGTGACATGCCTGGTGGTCAAAGTGTGTACTTACAAGTGGGGGAGGGGGAAGGGGGCACTGTGGTATGTACAAGATTCAAACTGGGATTTGCCCTGAGCCACTTTTTCAAGATGGGGGGGGGGGGGAGCTGAACTGTGCAATGAATGCTTCAGATCATGGAGATGTTAGGCATGACAGCTCCTCAGCCAAGCTCAGATGTGGCGTTTCTAGCTCGGTCAACTTGCACAAATGTTCCATACATGGCTGGCTGGCCTTATCCAAACCTTCTCCACCAGTTGCAGCAGTTTTGCATGCATCCTGATGTTCGTTTAGGGACGACTGGTGCTGGGTGGCACGTACGACTTGCCGTGTCTCAAGTGTCTGCAAAGGTGAGTCTGGGACGTGGTTGAATGGCGAGTACATTAGTCCATTAATTTCGGGGATCATACCTGTTGATATGGAGTATAAGGGCACCTTCTGAGGGCACCGACCACGGGCGACGGAGTGTATCTATTTGAATGGTAAGTCTGAAATACGCCGACGCAGCACGTGCAAGTGACATCATGACAGTGTTCCAGGAAGATAATTTGTCATGTTCAATTGTCACGGCATCTTTGAAAGCTAGCTGATACGAGCATAAACACGTGATTATTATTCTGAAAAATGGAGTGGGGGGGGGGGGGGAGGGGGCTGGTGCCTGCGTCCAGGTCCGTGGGATTGCCATTGCCGATCCCCCTAAAGTGATATGACATTGCCTCGTCAAAATTCTGGAGCCTCCTCTGCATGCAGTAACTTAATGTTACGCCAGTACTTGGCTACATCCAGAGACGTTCGCAGGTTAAGCTTGCCACGCAACTATATCATGTTATGTAACGTTGTTGCAGGCAGGTTTTAGTGATCGGTTCTCCACCCACTGGTCTTCCCACAGTTTTTTTTTTAAATTCACGAGGCACGACTCGGGTCAGCCAGCGTTTAAACCATTGACTAAGCTCCCTCTTCAAACACTCGACTGTGGTTTTGCTGAAGAGCAAGAGCAGCATGACCTAACATTTTCCCGCAAATTCAAAGGCACGCCGTGAAATAATGTGTGGTCTGTAAGACAGCGCCTCCATGGATGCTAAGTTATGTGATCGGCTGGCAATTATCAAAGGATGACTGATTCTTGCGATAATTGCTTGCACGCTCGCGGTAACTCGCGGTCCTACGCCTTCGTTAGCTGGCGGGACTTCATTCGTAGCAGCAGCGCCCGCCCGTCGGATAAACCCCAACAAAACCGGCCGGTAATCATAAATCAGTCCAGGAAAACACCTTGGAGCGCGCTTCCACTAGCAGAGTGTAGTAAATGCAGTAGAGATGTCATATCCTTTCATGGCCATTGCTTGTGGGCAAGGAGGCCTATGTTTGACTACACTCCTCCAGAGACAATTCCGACCCCGACACGCTGTGCATGATGCAGACTTGGGCTATTTTTAGAACATAATGGCACAATCGTGAATTGCTCGACTCTGAATCCAAGAAGTATGGCTCAGTATCGGAAATTATTTCGATGGAGCTCGTTTTGGTGACAGGAGCTTGTAATGTAAGCCGCTCTGTACGTAAGAGCCTGCACACGACATATATTGGGTTGCTAAGAAGATATATCTAGGGTTACATTCACTGCACTAATAAAACAATACCATGATTTGTAAACTTCTGTTTGAACTAGCCCATGGCTGTTTTAGTCAGTACTGTGCATTCAACTTCGTTTCACATAATACTGTTTTCAAATGAATTGATTCCACCACAAGTAACAAACACTGAGGTCAGCCTGAAGTCGACTTGGACCCCGTAAGAGTCGAACCTGTCGGGTATTTGTAGGGTGCATTATGTCAGTAATTCGTTTACTGTCTGCTAACTTGCTGTGCGCTACGTTCTTTCAGACATCATGACGTCTCTGATTCGCTGGGGCATCATTGGCTGTGGAAATATCAGTCATGATTTTGTAACTGCCGTGCGAAGCCTAAAGGCTGAAGAAAATCAAACAGTAAGTGTCGTGAATAGTCCCTCACACCTATGTTGGTGATCAGAGACCAGACAACGCAACATCGAAGTGTGCTTTTGCCTCGCGCTTATCGCTGTTATTCCTGGCTGGCGGACATACTTTCGTTCCTATTACCGCATGTAGTGGTGACCGACCGCGCTGAACCCCCCCCCCCCCCCCTCCTTCCCCTCCAGACACGTGTCCTTTACAGCTGTTAGCGAGGTGTGGCCAGCCTTCCATTGTTTGGCGGTGGCGATTGTGAATACCTCTCATTTTACAACAGAGTGCAGCTTAGTGACGTCCACATCAGGTTCTGACTTGTCGGGTAACCTGAAGACTCAAGGATCGCGGTCATTAGAAATAAGTGTTTGAAATGAAGTAATACGCCATTTTCTCACCCTCTGTGCGCAGCTGGAGCGGCGTGTTTCACTTTTTCAGGTTGTAGCTGTGGCCGCACGATCCTTGGAAAATGCTAAGAAATTTGCCGGAAAGCATCAGGTTCCAAAGGCATACGGCTCGTATGCTGAGATAATGGACGACCCCGACATCGGTGCGTAAAAACGATCCTGCATGTTTGAAGTTGCAGCATATCTGATGAAACACCTGAATGCAAGGGCCCTGTAATTTATTATTTCGTAGCGGCAGACATGAAATGCGAGCATTGCATGTTGACATGGACTAGCGTTCCGCCAACGTTGGGTACACCAGGTTGTGAGATCCGGCAGGGTCAACATCTTAAATACATGTTTTAGACATGTCCCCTGCTCCAGCGCTTGATTTGGATAGCTCAAGTGTCAGAGCGGCGAAATGCTTGCCACTAACCTTTGCATGGCTCAGATAGGTGAATGCGTTACTAGTGCACCAATGTATACACCAATACTTTTGACACCATGGATAAATATGTTAATCGTCAAACGTAATTTGCTGTCCTCAGATTTACGGGAACTGTGCGGGTTAAGTGTTAGTTAAACCATGCATGATCATTACTTGTTGGTGTGCTGTTGACGTCATAGGAAGTGACATGCCATTAATCCTTCCGCTCTGCTCAGTCATATCCACGTGTGTCCCTAACTGTGGGAAGTCATGACGCGCGTGCTATTGCTTTTGCGCGGCTGAGTACTTGCCCGCGAAGTCCTCCCGTACTCAGGTTTGCGCTGAAGCCAGCTGGTAACCAATGGGTCAGAGGCCCACTGTTAATGCCATGCGCCGGCCAGAAGCAGACCTAATACAATTACTTAGCATTATCACTACAATAATGAACAAGGTAGTCGTTTGCTTTTCAAGACCAGAGTGCTGTTGAATCACATTCACAATCCTGTTGTAATTAGGCCAATGAGATCGTACTGTTTGAGCAAATGTACTCTGCTGGCTTGCACTTTGTGTGCGCGGTTAGCGGAAGTGGCTGACCATTACTTCATACCCGTGCATGTGAGCCAGAACATTCGCGAAACACCACTCGTCGGACGTTCGTGTCACAAAGCATACCTGGTCTCATGGGATTATACTCCCGAAGTGGCCGCCATATTGTGAAATGTTCATTAGTGATATTGCAAATTTTGAAGATGAAGATTGATTGATTTTGAACATGCTTTTAAAGCTCGATCAGCGGCGACACGTGGTGCTTTGTAAGCACCGGAAACGGGAGGAATTTAGCCAGGTAGACATATGCTTGCACCGGCCTCGCTCGGCCGGCACGCCGAACCAGCCGATGGGGGATATGGCTGCGAGACCGCAGATTGTCTTACCGCGCCGCTAGTTGCCGATGCGTAATCAGTACGGGCTGCGCTGGAGCGGCGCCTAGGCGTGCGAGGTCAGAGCGTCGAACGGCGCCAGCGAGTGTTGGCTTGCATTGAATGCACTCGGCGCCGACACCAGCCCCCCCCCCCCCCCCCCTCTGGCCGGCTGTGCGCCAGCTGCTAGTATTTGTGCTGGGGTAAGGGTAAGGGGACTGGCACAGATGCCGATGCGGGATTATTTTCCATAAAATGGTACCTTTGTAGTGTGCGCCTTCGCCCCCTCCCATTTACACCTCCCCTTCTGACCTCGGCTGTGCGCGGCGCCGCTGAGCCCGATCCTTGTCGTGCTGGCAGACGTGTATTACGTAGGCACGGTACAGCCGACACACTTCGACGTGGTGAGTCAGCTGCTAAAGGCACGACGGCCCGTGCTCTGCGAGAAGCCGCTCTGCATGACCGTCCGCCAGACGCAGGAGCTCGTCAACCTGTCTTACGAGAAAGAGACGTTCCTGATGGAGGCCGTATGGACGCGGTGCTTTCCGGCGGTGCGCCGGCTGGTGCAAGAACTGGAGGATGGCATCATCGGCGACGTACTGCACGTGTCCGCCACCTTCGGCATCGCCACCGAGCCCGACAGCCGACTGCGGTAGGCCTGGGTCACTGGATCAGGGGAGCCGACGGCGGTAGGTCAGGGTCACTGGATCAGGAGAGCCGACGGCGGTAGGTCTGGGCCACTGGATCAGGAGAGCCGATTGCGGTAGGTTTGGGACGCTTGCTCAGGAGAACCGACTGCGGTAAGCCTGGAGGCTGGAGCGTCAGGTCAGGAGACCCGACTGTGGAATGTCTGGGTCGCTGGATCAGGAGAGCCCGCTGTGATAAACGGTTCAAAAGAGCTTACTGTGGTAGGTATGAGCCGCCGGTTCAGGAGAGCCGACCGCGGCAGGCGCGGACCACCGGGTCAGGAGGGCCGACTGTGATAGGTATGCACCGCCGGTTCAGGAGACCCGACTGCGGCAGGTGTGGACTTTCGGGTCAGGAGGGCCGACTGTTGCGGGTGTGGACCGCCGGGTCAGGAGGGCCGACTGCGGTGGGCCCGGACGACACACCGTGTTAGACCTGCTGGGACCAAGTGGCCGGGTGCGAGGGTGCGAGCGATGAGCAGAGACACGTCAGCTGGAAACAGTAGGTCTGGACCGCTACTTATAGTGGGTACTCACGGAGCCTTACCGCACACCGTTGCGTCCCGTCAGGGAGGTGGACAGCCTGCTGGGACAGGTCTAGGTTTAACCCTTGTTAGTTATCTGCCACTAGTTGGCACCGTTAGTCTGACGAGGGCGTGGCTGGTGGTGCTCGTTCACGACGAATTCTCGTGCGGGGCGTGCAGCATAGCTTCAGCACTGCGTAGGGTGTTCTTGGAGGTTACTTGACTCACCACTTCCGTCCTCCCCGCCTTTGTAGCGAATATAAATGGGCCGTTCGAGCGACGAAAGTCATGCAGTCGTGGTCACACGCTGACTAGCAGCACCATGACGTCCGTCCGTCTGCTTATCCTGTTCTACGCCCTTCTGGTCACCTGTCTGCCTTCCCAAGGCCGTGAATATGGAGGACGCCACACGAGTTACGACCTGGGAAGAGGCAACAGATACGGAGGCTTCAGCAGTTCTGGTTACCATGGACCAAGCGGCTATGGATACAATGGACGCCACATGAGTTGGGGCCTGGGAAGAGGCAGCAAATTCGGAGACTTCAGCAGTTCTGGTTACCACGGACCCAGCGACTATGGATACAATGGACGCCACATGAGTTACGGCCTGGGAAGAGGCAACAGATACGAATACTTCAGCAGTTCTAGTTGCTGCGAACCCAGCGGGTATGGATATAATGGAAGCCACATGAGTTACAGCCTGGGAAGAGGCAACAGGTTCGGAGGTTACGGCAGTTACGGTGACTACGGACACTGATGATTCTACCGCTGATATGGTGGTCATGGACACATTAGGTCCTCAATCAGTGATGCTGTGGTGATGGCGCCGGCCCGTTTTCTCGCATATGCCTGGCAGTCTCTACATTTGTCTACATGTGTATTATCAAAATATAAACAATCATTTTCGCTTTGTGTTTGCAAGGCTATGTGGCATCCATGGGATTTTATTCCTGCGGCCATCGGCGTTTGTCGCAAGTTTCTTCTTTGTGGTGATCATTCGAATGCTCCTTGTATCACTTTTGTGCGACGTGTAGTTATGGGACAACCGTTTATCACCGTAATGTGCGGTTTTCCTGCCCCTTGGTACCATATAATATTAGGAAAGGTGTGGGGGCGAACGAACGTTTTTGAATTACTCTCCTTTAGAGGAGTGCAGGTTTAACAAACACTGTTCGAGTTAAGAACTACACAAATCGAGAGTGTGCCGAAAGCGTATACCGCCTCATGTTCCCTTCTTTAAATGTCGGACTTGTTTTTGGTTTTTGTACGGGAAAGAAAGATCATTCGGGCATATTTTAGTCCAGCTCTTTCTTGGATCCGGGTAATTCTACACTTCAGCTTCAGTAACACAAAGGTTCTCTGAAGAAAACGACGATAATCCCCGAGTCATGTTTGCATTTTGCTGGTTCAAAGAAATGAGAACAGCCGGCCGTGCCGGGACGGCTTCTGCGGGATAGCTTTAAGGATAGTGTCGCCTTGACTCCTACAATCCCCGCGCCATTGTATGTATAGCATACACACGTCACCCCCGGCCAGAGTGTAGCATGCAATGAGAGCAGACGTCCAACCATTCAGATGCTTGCGCTTCATTATGCTTCAGTTAAACCGAATCCGATCGATGACGGATGGAACTCCAACTCTGATTGCGGCCAGCATAGCATAGCATAGTCGACGCGAAAATATTAGCCTTTGCCGCGTTTTTCAGGGTAGTCGCTTTCAATGAAATGAGGTGGATGATGTCCTGGTATGCAGATGACATCCCTACATAATATCTTTGTCAGAACGGAAAGCTCCGCTTGCTGCGATTCTGTCAGAGCGCCACAGGAATGGCGTGTTTGCTGGACTCGCCAGTGATTTCAGGCTTCTTTATTCTCATGATTACGACCCTCACTTAGACTCCCACATATTTTGAGGCATCATATTGCGATGATTCAACTAAATTTATCTGGTCCAAACAAGTCTGGTGGTAGAATTCACGGCCACACTACCCAAACCTCTAATGACAGTTCACACGCATCACTTTGTTTTCCGAGACAGATGTAAGATAGGCCGAGGCACTTGATAAGACGAAAGCTTCAGAGAATGGCGTGAGGAGCCAGCACGTTCCGGTATAACTCTTTCCCACACAATGCTCACGGGTTTGCGTGGGATGTTATCCGTTGTCCCCAAATGCTAAAAAAATAAGCTCTAGATTCAGCTGCGCACCGTCCATTCTACTCCACCAACCGCGAAAACCGGGTGACGTGTATTTCTGCTTGATCAAGATCCATTCGTAGCATTGGAAAATTAGATAATCGATAATCCCGGTTTTTCTCATCTAAAATACAGCATAGCCATGTGCCACGTAACCAGTAATGACCCGTCACGTCACAGGTCACAAAATTGTGCATTTCATTCCCCACAAATCCTCACAAGTGTCGGACTTCCTGGCGGTTCTTTTCTAGCACCTATAATAATGGTCTTGAGAGCTTCGAAACTGGCTTAACATGACAAGGTTCTCTTCGCAACAGAAACGCCATGGTTGCCAAAGATAAAGATCACATCAGGCAAGGCGGTTTCATGGCCATAATTCACTCGTAATCCAACGCAGTCCGCAGCATTTCGACAGCGGCGACCTGGGAGATCGATAGTCCTCCGTGACCCGACCCGGATATATCACAGTAAATTCCTCGGGAGAAATTCAAACGACAATCGATAAGCAAATATAATGGTGATGAGGCGTCGGTTCGTTGTTGAGATCATTGCATGAATGTACATATGATAGCTACTAGTTAACTGCAGTCCATACATCTGATTGTACATGCAAAAATGTTGCGCAGGCGAACAAATGTGACAGGACAGATCCGGGAAGGGTATTGAAGAGACGATGTTACATACTTTAATCTCGCTTGGCTGTGTTTTGTGTTTCAATTTTTTTTGAGCGGGCTGTATTTAGGTAAAAAAAGCTAGCATTCCAGCGTAGCTCGAATGGTCCAGAAGCAGGTGTGCCAAGGCGCAGGGGCGATACAGGCGCCAGCGTATTGGAGAAAAGCGGCAGCCATTGTGGCTCACACGCCTCCCAACGTTCTACTTAACACACAGTTTGCCCCAACAACTCCGTTCAAGTGCGTACCGTAGATCCGCTACTTATCTGCGATATTGCCGGAAATGAATACAAGTATTGCAGCACAAGAGAGGGTCAGTCATACCTGTTTGGGTTGCAATGTTCTGCTCAACATCATCTGTTTTATGCACTTCATTTTTAGGACCATGCGTCCGCCAGTAACCTAAGAATTACTTGCACACGTGCGTTTGGCTGCAGCATAGCGCAAATAGCAAAAAGCAAAGGCATGCAAATCTGGATGTGTTTCGATCCATTAACATTTTCAGATTGACCCAACGTTTGCCAGCTTAAGGACGTCACGGCCCTTTTTGTTTTCCGCTCTAAGAAACATAAAACACTGTCAGAATGGGTTTTATACATTATGATGCTGCTGTGGGATGAGGAGGCCACACATGTAATCCAATCGACGTTCACGCGTTTAAACGGGGCTCAAGTTTGAATGTCGAAAGATATCTGTTGTCTGGCTATAGCAACTTCAAGCAAAAGTAAGAGTCGATTCGAGACATCGCACCACATTCGATACGTTCGCGTGTATAGTTGGCAGTCGATTCGAGACATTCCGCATATGCGATGAAATCGACGAAATTGGCGCATAGCAACCGCTTGGTGATCTAACAAACCTGCGGGACATTGGGGAATAATTGCATGCCATATGTAGCCGATGGTGTTGCGAACCAAACTGATTTTAGTAGCCTTTGGTTTTTCTGAGATATAACTTATCATTGGCATGTAACCATCAAACATGTAAGCATCTGCGATTACGCATCACCAAAGGATAGCCTAGTCGTCACTCATGTGGAAGCTTGTGGCATGGACACTAAAATAATGCCAATTTTGATGTAGTTGCTTGTCAAAACTAGTATTGATTTGTGAAACTTTTTTCTCCTAGTTCACTACTAGTCTTAGTGGAACTGGTTTTGCGAAACTGCGCACCTGTCGCCACTGCATAGCAAAATTGCCACTTATGAGAACTGTCGGTCACACTTCTTGCTCACATGCAAATTTTTCAATACATTTATCGAGTGTGTCAAATGTCTTGTTTGAATCTGTTTCCTTCACATGTTTTCAGCACGGCATGACAATGTTGGGATCGTGTAAAAAAGCCCGTGGCATGAGAAAGAAGAAAGTTAATACATTTTGGCAGATCTCGCGTAGTTTTTTACAATCCGCGAAACGAGAAAATCATTCGCTGGCCTCTCCGTGGCAATTTTGGGAAATGTATCGAATATGTTGATTGCCTTGATTAGACCGCCAACTTTTTGCTCGCGCATAAACCTGCAAAGCATTCCAAAGATATTTCCTAAGTGCGGTAATCTTGTGACTGGCTTCCCTGCGGACTGGGTTTGGAGGAATTTGATGTCTGTTTCTATGCGACGCCGTTGGGTGAATGCAATTTCCCGAGACTTGAGTGGGCACCCCTCCTTTACCCTGTCTTCATCGTCCATTACTTAGTTAATGGCCGACAACGTGTTTCGCACAATCGATACCGCGATTTATCAAGGACGATACTGAATAGAATCGTGTAGCTTTTGCATTGGTTGCACTGAAGTTGACAAGGCCCTGTCGTAAAGAGGTACGGCACACTGACGTGCCTTAAGTTTTCGTTGACTTTCCTCGTGAACGGCTTCTGAAATCGTGCGTCGAAAACAAAATGCACAATTATCGATTTGATGTCACTCTTCTTTCGTTGTTGACTTCAAAACTGAGTCACACCTGCTGAACTCAGGCTGGATTTGGATGGACCATTGTTCAGCGATAGGAAAGATTGCATGCCATGAATGAAAGGAGCGAATGAGTACCAGTGCGCGGTACACCACGTCAGCTATGTATGAATGGTAATGGCCGTCGGCCTTGGCGTCGGTTGTTAGTTCAGAGCCTCTGGAGTGGGTGGTGCGATGCGCCGGGGCCTTGTGCTAGCGTCAGAACAGACGCGACCCTATCGGCCAGCCGCGGACAATGACTGACACACATTGTCCAATAGAAGCACGGCGTGTTAGCTGGCAGGGAAGCTTTTTACCGCGGCCAGGCACTGGAAAGTTATGTTGCCTGATATTCCGTTTCTTTAGGCTGTCTGTTTTTGTCTGAGGATCGCAGGGGAGTTGGACAAAGTGTGGATCGGGTTCAGAGCGTCAGTTGCATCACGCTGGCCGTTGTGATATCGTTATTGCAGATCTTTGAAAATTTTGTTGGCGATGTTTGCTCAAACAGTGCTGGTGTTTGTTTTGCCTTGGACCGGACTTAAAAAAATACGGCCATGGCCGTTATGTATCGCCGGCGCCGGTTGTGTACAACTGACGATGGCCGTTATGTATCGGCGACGCCGGCTGTGTAAAACTGCCTGCTGTGTACAACTGACGATGGCCGTTATGTATCGCCGGTGCCGGCTGTGTAAAACTGCCGGCTGTGTACAACTGACGATGGCCGTTATGTATCGCCGGCGCCGGCTGTGTAAAACTGCCGGCTGTGTACAACTGACGATGGCCGTTATGTATCGCCGGCGCCGGCTGTGTACAACTGACATACCACAGATGATGCAGGTAATCTCAGCCGGGCGGTGGGGTGGCGTATGGTGCTATGGAACGGGAAGGCAGTGAAGGCGCGACACACACACACACGCACACACGCACACACACACGCACACGCACACACACGCACACGCGCACGCACGCACGCACGCACGCACGCACGCACGCACGCACGCACGCACGCACGCACGCACGCACGCACGCACGCACGCACGCACGCACGCACACACACACACACACACACACACACACACACACACACACACACACACACACACACACACACTAAAAAGCTCGGCTATGTATTGCCTCGCACTGCGAGTGCTAGCCAAACAGGTACCGTGCGGTTCAGATGCCCGCGCTGTCATTCACAAGAACATGCCGACGCCACCACCACGCGACTGCCGGTCAAACAATTAGTGGTAGCTAATGGCAGCCGTATCCCGCGGTAGCTAATGACAGCCTTATCCACCCTAACCTCCTTAGTAACCGTAGACTTCGCCGTGTCCGTGGCCATCATAGCCGCCGTAGCCTACGTGTCCTAGGGTCTGTGTGTGACCACGAGTATCCTTCCCCGCTTGGATAGCCTATGTATGCCTGTTATAAAAGCGGGGAGGACGTAAGTGGAGTATCGTGTGACCTCTCAGAAACGAATGAGGCGAAGGAGGGCCTGCATCGCCCGGCCGGCACGAGGATCAGTCGTGGTAGAGCGCCACCAACCACGCTCGAGGGGGTGCTACTGCCGGCCTGGGAGACCCCGCGGCCAAGGCCTCTCTCCCCTCACTTCCGCCTCCGGCACAGGTCACATCGGGCTTCTGGCGGATGTAATTTGGACATCGTGATAGCCAAGGATGAGCTTTTTATATGGTGTACAGGATGTTGTTATGATAGATTATAATGTGGCATGTTCCAAAGCTCGGATGCGTCGTATTTACGTGGCATCGTCGATTGCTGAAAGCTTACTCATTACAGTCGAACTAGAAATGAGCGTTGGCATACTCGGTTGTTTTATCCTTACCCGCGCCAGGCGACCGTGCCCTGTGGCTTGCGGAATCAGTGCTCACGCACTGCCGAGGCCGCAGTGCCTGCGATAGAGGCCCGAGTTGCGGCCCTAACGCGGCGATCCCTGCCCGTAACCTTGGGCCGCCGGCGGGGCCCGGCAGGAAGATGTCGCTGGGCGGCGGCTCGGCGCTCGATCTGGGCATCTACTGCGCTCAGCTGGTCAACCTGGTGATGGCCAACCAGCGCTGGAGCCAGCTGCGCACGCTGGGCCACCTGAACTCCGACGGTTGCGACCTGAGCCTCAGCACCAGCGTCACTTACCCGAACCGCCAGCTGGCCACGCTCGTCACCCACTGCGAGGTGCAGCTGCACAACGAGGCGGTCATCTCAGGCACCAAGGGCATCATCAAGGTGGGAGGCGCGCGCCCACGCCGCCCGGTTACGGGGCGAGATGCCAGGCACCGTCGGGGGGTCGCGAACGTATGGCGTCGTGCACTGGTGCACATGTGTGGGATGCGCTAACTTGCCAAAAAGGGATTTGCGCCGTTTGGGAGGGATGAGGTTAGGAACGCTTTTTGAGTGCTTAGGTGCCTTGGCAGGTCGCAGTGACTGCTGCTTTGTCTTAAGTGGAGGCACCACTGGCCTTGTGCCCCGTCGGATCTCGCTGCCGATATGTGTTGCCATATGTCGCGGGCCGCGTATGTTTTTCGATATCTGGGGTCTGCAGCCGCCTGCCCCCATACACTTGCTCGGTTTCCCACCCGAATTTTGTGTTGATTGCCATAAGTTTAAGCTGCAGCAGGGAAAATGCAACAGTTTTTCTTGAGTTTTAATTTCGGCGCTGTTTTGCCTGGCTGGTTTGATGTTATGCTGCTGTATAAACCTCTTTAAGGAACTCCCAGCGCAACGCCACCAACTGAACCAATTTCGGCGGCGGGCAGTATTGACGTGGCGCACCCGCTGCTCCCCGGCCGACAGTTGGCGCCACCATTTCACTGCCCGACCGAGCTGGAGCTGCCCTCGGGCAGCGTCTCGTTCCCTCTACCCGACTCGCTGCCCGATGCCACCTACATGTACGCGAACTCGGCCGGCTTGCAGTACGAGGCACTGCACGCGGCCGATTGCCTGCGTAAAGGTGCGTCATAGCCGCGACCAGACGGGGTCAGCGGTGGTCAAGTTCTGATGATCGGTTGGCTGGCTGGCTGGCTGGGCGGGAGGGTTCCGCTCTGGACGGGCTCGAGTGCCAGTAGCGTGGACAGGGGTGTCTGCTTCGAGCGTGGGAGATGTACAGGATAATAGACTACAGGTTCGACCGGTCCTTTGCGGAGGGTCGCTCGTCTGACCCGTGGAAGGCGACCCTGCATTGTTCTGCCGTCGTAGATAGAGCGAGGCTCTTAGGCTACGCATGCGCCGGCCAGGATAGTGAACGACGCAGTCGCTGCCGACAATACACAAGACGTGCCGATGTGCCATACCGTCCTCTGGTGGGATCCCGTGTTTGTCATCCAGGTGTTAACGGGGACGGGGGCGCCGCTGTGGCGCCGTCGGTCCTCCGCGCCCGCCGCCCGGTCACCACCCGCCGCCCGACAGGGGACGCTGCTGTGGCGCCGTCGGTCTTCCGGGCCCGTCGCCCGGTCACCGCCCTCCGCCCGCTGCCGCAGGTCTCAAGCAGTCACCATTGATGACGCTCAAGGACTCGATCCGCACGGCCGAAATGACGGAAGCGATGCGCAAGCAGGCGGGTGTGTCCTACCCGCAGGACGACTTCCACTACGATGACAACACGTTTCACTTCCACCAGGACCGCTGTATCTAGCGGCCCGACGTGCTGCGCCGGCCGGCGCCGGCCCGCGAGCGCCGCCTGGCGCACTGCGAGACCGGCGACTGGGCCGCACCGGTGGCGCGCTGGGGCGGAGGGCAGAATGGGCGACACAAATCCTGGAGGCGTGGCAAAGGTCGTTAATCGGTCGCCATTGGATTTTTTCGGATTGACCTTTGAGAGGGATGTGTGATCTACTAATGGATATGATTCAGGCCTGCACGAGCGTTGTCCTTCTTGCGTGGGATGCGGAAAGTGAAGAGCCTCGATGCATTCAGAGGCGTAGCCGATTTTGATGAGTAGTATTGAGTAGTATTAAGTATTATTGAGTAGTAGTAAGTTGTGAGTTCGGCCCTTTCTATGGACTGACTAACGAGTTTCAAACTGCGGTCGCGAGCTACAAACAATTTTCTCAAGTCGGGAAACGTTTTTTGTTAGGCGCAATCGGTTGGGAGTTTCGCAAGCCACTAACATGTGCTCAGGGTTTTGGGAGGCATTTTCATACGTGCCGACACTGTAGAATAGTCCATGGAACATCACACGTACCACACGCTGCACAGACGCATGTGCGAAATTCTTTTCACTTGCAGCGACCAAGATGCTCTATTTTCTACAACTGTATATGATGTGCTGGTGCGTGCGGTACATGATATTGCGCGTTTCACGTGTGATGATCTGCTGTTTTCAGCTATGGTATCGCGCACTGCGCAAATTTGTGAAATTCGTGACAACTGGCTCGTCTGTACGATGGATCGGATTCATGTGCTGCCCGTCCCAGATTGTGAAGCACCTGGGATTGACTCGTGCTGCCATAAATTATGTAATCCTGCCGTCATTTTGATGTCACCAACGTGCTGATGTTAAACTCTGTGAATTTACGAGAAAGTACGGCATCGTGACATGCGGGCGAGCAGTGGGTGATGGCACGTATACATCTGCATTGTGCCGAATAATAGAGCGGATAAATCCATGTATTGATGTTCTAGCCATTTGCGCGCTGAACGTATACTCAAGACCGGTACTTTGGAATGGATGCCAGAGTTGCGCCAGTGTATCTAATATCGTAACTCATTTTTGTTGGAGGTACCCAGCGTAACCAGCCGCATTTGCTCAGCCGTTCGCAAAGTTACTACATTACCCTCTGGTTTACCCTCTGGGTTACATTGCCCTCTGGTTTTACTATTGGCGTAGGAGCAACGGGGGGGGGGGGGGGGGGGAGATGTACCGTATGAAAAGAGTAGATTGGGAACAACATCCCCCGAATTTTCTGCGCCATTGCTCCGTCTTTGCGTTACTCATATTTTGTCTGAATTGTTCATTCGCTGCCCATTGTCACGTTCCTTGGGCGTTCCTTGCCCATTTTCGCGTAATCATTCAGATAATGGAATCGTCAATGGCCAGCGACGATACTATCGGCAGGGACAAAGCCCGAGTAATGATTCCACCACGAAAGATACGTCTGGATCTTGGCCTCCGTCGATTTGGGAATCAAGGTACATCCACCATAGGTATAACCAGGGGTGTGCTGCCTACGCAATGGAGAAGTTGAAGGCTAAAAGATGCTTGAAAGTGAATCGAACCCGAAAACAAAGGACATTTCCCTGCCTAGCCCTTTCCCCACTTTGCAAAAATACGCCTCCAGGTGCATAGGCGTAGGAACATTTCAAAAAGTGGGGGGGGGGGGGGAGGGACCACGCTCAGGGTGTACGTCAAGAACTTTTCTGGAAAGCGAGCCCGATGACCAGCGGGGGTGGTGGGGATGGAGGTTGTTATCGCTCTTTATTCAAATGTCATGGCTGACATGCTAGATATGCATCTAAAGCTGTTCATCGCTGGTGCACAATCTTGCCTATTCGACTCATCTGTCGTTTGGCAAATAAGGCTCTCCAGCTTCCCTAGGCTATTCGTCCATTTTAACATTGTCTTTCCTGGGGAGGCGAAATTCCAGGAGCGGGTAAGCGTTTTGGGTCATTAAGGAAACATCTGCCTCCACCGTGTAGATACCAAAATACGGTCTGGATATACGCTGGAGGGAATTTTGAAAGTGGGTTGATGGCTCACAGTGGGACAGATTTTTCATGCGCCCTCATTTCGCTGGCTGCTTTTCAAGAGATAAGACTAGTCGCAGCATTTTAGGCGGAAACAAATTCGAGAGCTTGAAGCTGCTAGAAATAATGTGACAAAAGCCATAAAACTGGAGATTCTCTTTTAAGAATCAAACCACATAATAACGCCCATTTGTCATGCTCCTTATCTAGGTCCTGCTCCTGCCCGCCGTCGGTGGCCACTGCCCTGGCCCGGATGTCTTCCGCATGACTGACTGCGAACTGATCGCATGGCTGCTTTGTTGCATACTTTTGGACCAGCGTTACTACTACATGGTGTATGAAACACGTGTTGGACACCTGCAACAGCATCTGTTTCCAAACTACCCTACCTCACACCACACCATCGCAGAAAAATAGCCTCCGGGAAGCTGTCTGCCTTAGGAATTAATTGGCCCAACGGACACTTCATTACCCATCATGTAACGTATACGACTTTATCTGCTTTTGTGTGTAAGCAAGGGCGTAGCCAGAGCATTGCCAAGGGGGAACAGAAGGTTGACAAAAGCCCATCTTATGGTGATCCCCAAAATCCCCGGATATAGCTTGCTTGTTAACAAGTCATACAGTTTTCTTCGCTTTATTGCCTTTTTACCTTGTGACCAGAACAGAAACCAGGAGCTACCGTGAGCCCAATTCTGTTCGTATTTTGAGGTCAACGAACTGCAGAAATCTGGCGTCGAACGACTGCATGAAATAAATCACCGGCGCTCTTAATTTACAATGGTTAGTGGACTCTTTCTAAACCGATGTAATACAGAAGCTGTGCTAAAATTTGTATCTGGGTTCTTAAGACATTGAAGACGTCGCAAAGGGAGATTGTGGATCGATATGTTTGATCCGAATTTGAAGATAAAAAGTTGATGGCGGATCAAGTGGTCAACAACGTGCATTAGCATGGCCAAGCCATGTTTGCCTGAAAATGTTTACCATTCAGTCAGCATCGATTAGTGATACAATTTAGGTAATGTGTTTTTTAACATGCGCGCTCGCAAATCTTAGGGAAAAAACCTCGCCACCAGGCGTCGCAGTCTCCGCAGTCCGCGGTTTAGCCCAGTAGCCAATATTTAGTCGTGTCCCACCGGTGGACGTTAATGATGATCCTTCTGAACTGATTACTTTTAAATATCTAAATTGACTAGCAATACAAGTTATGTGACGTAATTTTGAGCGTGCGCACTGGAAAATTTTAGAAACGCAAGCCTCGACCCCAGGCATTGCAGTCTCCGTAAGCCGCGCAGCGTCAGCCTAGCAGCTAATATTACGTTGTGACCAACGGATGCACGCAAATGACTACGCTTCTGAAACAGCAATCTTAAGCGCTTCATGGCATCCAATCTTACACTTAGAAGGCAGTCTGAGCGCATATTTCACGTGTGCAATTTTTAGACTGATGAAAAGAACGGATTGGCCCTTAAAGCACCGCGAATTGGGGCGGGAATCTAGGAGTTGAACTGGAAGAGTTAAGGTAAAATGTCTATTTTTCGTGTTTTCGCAGCTATTTATCCAAAAGCGTAAACAGCGTGCATTGTACGGGCACATAGGAGGGCGCACACTCCAATTTTGCGCCAGTGGGGGGACCTCCCACCCGATCTTCCCCCCCCCCCTCCAGTGTTGATCCATGATATTCAAAAATTCAGGATACAATGGTAGGTAAAAATGACTACGCGCGGACGCAATCCCCCAACTTCGTTTTCGCGCAGAAATGGCGAAAAATAAACGAGAAAAAGGGAGCCTTACCCGAAGAAAAAGAGAGAACCAAATTGGCGCGTAGATGAGCGTAGCGCCATTTGTAGTGACCGCGGCTGCCGCGGGAGGTCTGCTGTGTTGTCGCTGGGTGGGGGGGACGGAACTTGTGCCTTCGAGGTAAGACATCGACGTATCTTACAGACATGTATTAGTGTCCATATAATTGTTTCGTCTCACAACCCAGAAGTGGTGATTTTCCCCTAACACACTAAATTGTCTCAAGCATCTAAGCGAGGGTAGCCCGTCTGCATTTCTGGGAGCTGTCAGGGCCCTGGTTTCCTCCCAGCATTAAAACAAAACAATAATGAGACTGTCTTGGCTGTGTCTCCCATTAACATGGAGCCTGCCTCCATCGGTACCTATGACGTGAGTGCTTATGTCACACACACATCCTCTAAGCTGTGGGAACTGCATTGTGGTGCACTTACATCTGATGTCATAGGTTGCAATTTGTGGATAGCTGTTTTTAGTGGGAAATGCAGCTCTGGTGTGGCAATGTCATCACAGCAACAATGTCAGAACACACCATGAATCTGAGATCCACATGTTTTGGTGTATTTTCACCGTCAATTTCAGCACGTACAGCCAATGTTCAAACAATTCTGTTTTTGTAAAGTGAATTTCAAGCAAAATGTCCTTAAGTTCATAGCTATTAAGGGCCATCATGGTCATGGTGGACATTGGTGCCTTATGCTAAAAAAGAGCATTGTACATCAATCATTGTTTTTAAGGCAGAACATATAGTGAAACAGGTCATCTAAACTCTTAGCTTGGAACTTAAATAACTATGACAGTAAACACCTAAGCATTGCAAACACACAGCAACTGCATCCTGGCGCTATTGCTAAGTGTGGCCACAACATAACTACACTTCAAAAACCATAAAATGTACTGGGGGGCCAAAGTAACAAGAATCCAATGAAATGTCTTGTGCATCCAAGCAGTCTTCCATACTGTTTGTGGATTGGTCAACATGGGGAGGGGGCAAATATGATGTCTTTGGGTGGGGAATGAAAAGCAGAATGAGAACATGGCTGAACAAGACTTCTCACAACAGTACATACATATGGCATGGAATGTGAATGCTAATGGGACACTGGTTGGAAGGGATAGGGTGGGGAGGTTAGGCTAAGTTAGGTTAGGTTAGGTTAGGTTAGGTTAGGTTAGGTTAGGTTAGGTTAGGTTAGGTTAGGTTAGGTTAGGTTAGGTTTAGGTTAGGTTAGGTTAGGTTAGGTTAGGTTAGGTTAGGTTAGGTTAGGTTAGGTTAGGTTAGGTTAGGTTAGGTTAGGTTAGGTTAGGTTAGGTTAGGTTAGGTTAGGTTAGGTTGGGCCAAGCTAGGTTGAGTCAGGTTGGGTGGGGTGGGTTTGGGTTGGTTTGGGTTGGGTTGGGTTGGTTGGATTGAGTTGGTTGGATTGGGTTGGGTTGGGTTGGGTTGGGTTGGGTTGGGTTGGGTTGGGTTGGGTTAGGCTAGGTTAGGTGGTCAGGTTACATTAGGTTAGGTTAGATTAGCTTAGCTTAGCTTAGCTTAGGTTTGGCTAGGTTGGGTTAGGTGGTTATGTTAGGTCATGTTAGGTTGTGTTAGGTTAGGCTACATAAATTGTTCAGTGCATTAGTGAGGAAGATTAGCCACACAGGGAATGCAGTAGTAAAAGCCTTATTGCACAGAAAAACCAGGAGAATGGAGATATAGTTGGGTTGATATTTCGGTAACACAGCGTAATATCAACCTTTGCCTACACATGATAAGAAACATATTTCATTATGTTATTATTGTTACCTTGGCCACACACATTTTTATGGTTCTTGATGTTTGGCCAAGGTGACAAGTATGTGGCAAATCATTTTTGCTTGATGGTGTCTACTAGATTTATTACTGGGTTGGTTCTAATTTTGCTCACAGACTATAGGTATGGAAGCTATCACTGATGTGTCCCGGACTTCATGGGTCCTCAAATCTCCCCCAATTTTTGAAAATTTTTAAGGTAGACTTCCTTTGGAGCAAAAAATAATTATCTGTCTCCAAGGTCCCAGCCCCCCCCCCCCCCAATCCAGAGCAACTGTCCATAATCCTTTTCAACCATGTTGGATCTAGGCTTATTAGATCCTTAATGGTCACAATTTGTTCTGATCATAGCATAAGGATTAGGATGAATAAGCAGTAGGCATTGCAAGCATATTCATGTTAATATTTACATTAAAAGTGAACCCACCAGTGTCTTCCCTATGGTCTGATTATTTTGCTGCCTCCAGCATTGTTTGTAATGTAATGTTATGATTATTGATGCATTATGTTGATATTATGTTAATATCCCTGCATATTGTACCTAGATCATGGTGGAAGAATCAGAACCTGGGCCATCTGGAGATGCAAAGCCAGCGGGCAATGTTCCATGGTGAGTATGTGACATCCATGGCGTGCTATTTTGTTATATCCCAGCGATTCATTAATGTCAGCTCGGGGTGGGCTATAGGTTGGCAGTTATATATCCATTGGCAATGTGCTTTGCTTTAGTGTATGGTCCAGAGTCCAATTAGTTGAGGTTGTAAAGTCACGAGAATATTATGACTCAAATGATGTGTTGTGATATTGAATTGAACAAACACATTTTCTGCTCAGATGAGTTTCGAGTTAAGGGGACAGGGTAGCTGCAGCACACAGTACGGTAAAAATGGGAAGGATGTTTCAGTGCTTCAAGTTAGTGCCAACTTGTGACATTTCTGCACGATGATGCTGTTCTACGCATGCAATTTTTAATACTACAGATATTTTGGTATGATTTTTTGCAGCTGGCATGTGAAACAGCAGATTCCACAATTCGTACTACCGGATCAGAGTTTCTATTCCAACCTTTGTGTATGCTTCAATCCATTGGCATTATATGGTATATTGCTTGTTTGATATGTTTTAATGAGAAGATGTGTGTAAGCCACAAGTGTTCTTGTGTGTTGAAAGGAGAAAAGGTGCTTAATTTTATACCACATGCTATTTACTCTAAATATTCAAAGTCATCTGCGGAATGAGTTTTCTGGCAGCCCCAGTCAGTATGCAGATGGTAGGGCCATAGACAACAAGATGTGGGTGACAACATAAGGAAAACGTACATTCTTTGACCACATTTTATTATGAGGCCATTGTACTGAATGTGCATGGTACTTGCAAAAAAGCGTGTGGTCTTAACTTACATATTGTTCCATACCTGATACAGGCCTTTGTTTGGCTTTGTTATTTGGGTTTAACAATGTATGCGGCATCTCAGATCATTATCAACAAATCACTCACGCCAATTTCTGCGGGTTGCGATGAAACTCTTGGTTTTGAGACAGACAGGAGCCCACGCCCCGTAACTGTGAGACAAATGCTCTTGTAACTGAGCCATGTGGTATCATAGCCGGAGTCTGTGAATGCGGGAATGCTGTGTTATGTCAGGAGTTGCTTCATTTCGATGTCTCCAAGCTCATTGCTAGGAGAAGAGGGGCACTGTGCATGACATTTGTGCGTCAGGATCTTGACATTCTTCATCACATATGAAACCGCGAAAGCTTCGCAGCAGCAGCCGTTAATTAGCAGATGCATGCAACCACTGAGGTTATCGCGTGGCGAATTCTCACCACGGTTGTGACTTCTTCGGTAAAAATTACTGGTGACGAAATTATGACTCAGATATTGGGGACAAGTTCGACGCCGTGCTGATGATGCTGTCCACGACTCCGCCCCCATCAGCGATCTACGTTTTGTCTATTAACACTCGCTCGGGTGGCCGGCGGGATGCCCTTCACTCGGGTGGAGGTCAGTTTGACCCCTTGAGATCTGAAGAAAGAAGATAGCTGGAGACTCCAAATATAGGGTAAATTGACCTGTACGTGGACACGCTTACGTCATAACCTGAGGTTCCCGGGTCATGCACTTCGGGTCAAATAAGGTCAGTCAAGGTAAAACTCCGGACTGTGTCTCAAGTACCACCAGCACTCCTGCAACCGCTGTAAAGCTCGACATCTGTTTAAGTGAAAGTTCAATAAGGCTATGGGCCTCGTTTGACCTTAATAAGGTCAAGTTGACCAAATACATAACAGACTGCTCTGATATTGTCATTCAAATAAGCATCAGGGATAAAGCTAGGCAGTATGTTCCTAAAACACCATGTTGACCGGGGTCGTTTTAGGTCAGTGGCCTACTATGACACTTAAAAGCTCATGATACATGTCTATTGCGATCTCTGCAACTATTGACAGTTCGGAAAGTTGGAAATCATTCCAGAAAAAAACATTTTGGGATCAATTTGACCCCGGCCTGAGCGAGTATTAAGTGACTGTGCTTATCGGGGCGTTGAATGTGCTCTGTCGGCAGCGACTGGACGGCGATGGTGTCCTGCTCTAAGTAACTGTAGTCCACGACCTCAACTAGCACTACCAATAACATCTGGCGTATAGTTTGGTTAGAATAATTTTCAACAAAGAGGATTTCTGACGAGATGCTCTGGCTTTTAGGCAATGACACCCAAAAGATGCGTTGCCGGCAACCAAGCCGTTCCGCTAAAGGCGTGAAAGAAGAAAGTGATGACGTCAAAGGTGATCACAGTCGTGTTGCAGCTAATTTAGCAGAGACGGATTTCATCCTCGTCTCATGTGTTGACTGCATACCGGCGATGCTCCTCGCGCGCGGCTTTTCTTCCCCTGTGCGCGATCTGTATTCACGTATGGTTTCGCCTTTTACATTGCAGCGTTTACATTCAAACCACCCGGGTATCAGATTTAATCAACCGCTTCCACACACTTCGCTGCTCAGACGAGTGAAACTCAAGTTGCACGCTTCTTTGTATCCAGTCTGTCTAATGCCCAAGGTGTGGATTGACCGCACCTACACACCTTTGCAACGTGGTCCAGATATTTTTAGTACATACGGGATTGTGATGAGTTTATCTTCGGTGTATGTGTGGTCGCAGTTTCCTATCGTGCGAACCAACCGGAGCCAATGAATGGGAAAAGGTGTCGTTATGTCACCCCTACCTATCCTTTGCCGCACTGGCGCTTGCCGCTGCCGTCCTTCGGCTCGGATATTGCCCGTTCTCCTGCCGGGGGATGTGGCTGTCCTCCAGTCACAGGAGCGGTGTGGTTAGGAAGAACGGTTTGCAAACTCATGCTGGATCTCTAGAAGACGATGCCAGATTTTCTTCGTTGCATTTCGATGCCGCGCTTTATACGCTTCCACACGTTCCTCGCCACCGTCGCTATCATTCCACGGATGTGTGCACTTTCGAGCTCCTGGAATACTCCATGGCATGTGATAGAATTAACTGGGGGCTCGGGTGATTGGGGTTTTTGACGTCTGGCAGGATTGAGAAGTACAGGCCACATGAATTCGCAGACATTGTGGGCAATGAGGACACAGTGGCACGACTAGAAGTTTTCTCCAGAAATGGAAATGTTCCCAACCTGATCTTGGCGGTAAGTAGCCGTACAGATGTGATGCACAGGCTTGCGTATTTTAGAGGCATGTGAGGAGCACAGCGGTGCTTCCTGGTGACCAAACGTCGTCAGAAATCGTATTAAAACTGGTGTCGCAGATGATTTGTGGCTATAGCGAATCAATTTGAGTTTCGGGGAGTCATTTGTTGATGTCATTGCACTAACTACATCGTTTTTAAGGGCGCGTCTTCAAAGTCTTTTAAACCGTTGGCCGCCCTCGGCAGGAGTGCCACAAGAATGTGGCTGTCCGCCTGCGCTTATTAAAACGTGACATACCTCCGGAACACTGCAGACGAGACACGGCTAATTTAGACCACCTCAATATCAAGTTTTTTAGTGAGCTTATTACTGATACCGGACGGCACAACGTGCCGTGCCGCCGTTTGAACGGTCCCGTTCCGAGCTGAGCGCCCTGTCTGGAACTGCCGCCACCACTCCGCCAGGGTCCGCCGGGCGTGGGCAAGACCACCACGATCCTCTGCCTGGCGCGCCTGATGCTCGGGCCGGCCTTTAAGTCAGCCGTGCTCGAGCTGAATGCCTCGAACGAGCGCGGCATCGACGTCGTCCGCAATAAGATCAAGACGTTCGCGCAGACGCAGGTGACGCTGCCGCGCGGCCGACACAAGATCGTCATCCTGGACGAGGCGGACAGGTGGGCTGTGCGGGGGCCGCGGCGGCGCTACTCGGCCGCTCGTCGGCCGCTTGCCCCGCCACCTGGCCGGCGTCGTCCGGGGGGGGGGGGGGGGGGGGGGGGGGGGGCGTCCCTAGAATATGGACGCATGGGGCCGTTGTTGTTCGCTCTGGGAACCGGCGACGCACCGTGGCCGCCTGGCATGTGGCTGTCCGGCACCCCGTAGACGTCTCAGGTGTTTATAAACTACTAAATATGTTGAGTGTCGTTTTTGTGACATCTCCTGGCGCTTCAACCAGCAGAAGCTGTGCGGCATATTGGAATATTTAAGCGTTGTGCGTACTAAGACAAGCAGCTCCTGGGAGCCATTTTCCGAAAAGGAGCCTTTGTTCAAAACGTGCATCGTGCATAAATATTGCTTTGCTTCTCTGTGTTTCCCATTGACAAGCGAAGACGAAGCCGGAGATAGCTTCCGCAGTAGTGGGAACTTATTCATGGTATGCTACCACCCTACGATTTAGATCGCTTTTAGTGCTTCGGATTGATTGCTGTTTCGCCCGCTCGCTCTTCGCGCTTTGGATTGATCGCTGCTACTTTTGCTTTATTTATATTCGCGATTACCTTGCAGCTATAGGGAGTCGCGCTTCTAGTGATCGTAAATCATCCGGAGCACTTTCCCCGGGAGCGCGGTTTGCTACCGCAGCGCGCTTAGAGCCGTCACCATAGCGGCTACGGGACCCGTCTGACCCCCCTCCTGCTCAGCATGACGGACGGGGCGCAGCAGGCGCTCCGTCGCATCATGGAGCTGTACAGCAACTCGACCCGGTTCGCGCTGGCGTGCAACACCAGCGAGAAGATCATTGAGCCTATCCAGTCGCGCTGCGCCATGCTGCGCTACAGCCGGCTGTCGGACGCCCAGCTGCTGGCCAAGCTGCTGCGCGTCTGCGAGCTGGAGCAGGTCAGTCGGCGTCCGCGGCGGGCAGCGGCGCGGCCCCGCCTGCTCCCACATCGCCGCCGGTTAGCCGCCCGCGGGACGTGGACTGGCTCCGGAACCTCTCGTGATCTCTGGTTGGCTTTCGGGGTGGAGAATGAATGCAGCCATTATAGGGTCAGGGATTGGCGTGCTGCAACAACACCAAAATGGTCTTTGGAGGTTTTCTCTTAATATTTTCGAGTAAGTGTTTTTTTAAGTATTTAGAGTGTTTTAGCGACGCATGTCATGCAGTGATGAGTGCTGACCCTGTGTAATAATCTGGCTTAACCCCCATCTATGTTCACCAGATGTGACTACAGGAGCTGGCGGCACCGCTGTTCCCATATCTAAGTCCAAATGAGATGTGGACCTGCATCCTTGTCTCTTGCATAATATTACAATTTTTGGCCTGCAAAACTGAGGTTGACGTGAACATCATATATTGGAACACGTTGGCGCGCGTTGTGAGTAAAGTTTCTTATGTAAGGCCCTCTTTTGTATTGAAGACACACACACATTTCTAAAGTGTATCGTCTGAACACGAACGAACCTCAGACTTAACGGCAGCGAGCCACCGCAGTACGACGGGCATTGATTCGTACCCAGCATTTTCCATACTTGCGCTGGTGGGCTAACCCTTCCTCCATGCATCTAACAATGGTTGGCGATTTGTAATGAAAGCAGTGTACTGCGCGTGTGGGAGACAGACCCATTGATGAAACCGGGAAATTTTAGGTGTCGTCCTCTGGTACAACTTTTTGACTCCAATATGATTCTTTAGAACCTTTTTCCAAAGGTCCCAAAACTTGAGAGATACATCAGAATCCAACCATACAACGTGGTGCATTTATGTTCCCAGCGAAGGGGCTACAGAGGCCGTTGAATTCAGAAACTGCGGATATTTTGCATTGTGGTGTTAATTGTATGAAATTGTTTCCAGCGGATGTACGCATAACATAACATTTTCCTATAGCATCGGTGCGATATTTTGAACCTGTTGACAGCTTTTACATAAAAGCCCGCCAAGCTGAACTACGTAACTGATCAATTTACGTTCTTCATTAAAACTTTCTATCAAGCTCCGTCACTGCCACGCTCCCAGCGACCTGGACCGGGGTCATGAGCCGCGGAGACGGTCCAGGGCTGACGGGCGGTGTATACCGCCAACCTCAGCCGCCCCGGCTCGGTAATGTCTCGCTGACCTCAGTCGCCCTGACCTCAGTCGTCCCGGGTCGGGTTTGTCCCTTTGACCTCAGCCGCCCCAGGTCGGGTTTGTCCCGCTGACCTCAGCCGCCCTGGGTCGATAGGTGAGCTACACGGACGACGGTTTGGAGGCCATCGTGTTCACGGCAGAGGGCGACATGCGGCAGGGCCTCAACAACCTGCAGTCTACTTTCCGGGGATTCGGCCACGTCAACAGCGAGAACGTCTTCAAGGTCGGTGCACGCGTCGCCATAGACAGGGAGCGGCTGCGTTGCGGAGCGGGGGGGGGGGGGGGGGGGGGGGGAGGCGGGATAGCGGCTTCAACGACATGACGTGTTGAGTCTTCTAGCGTTCAGTGAACTGCTGCTTGCGCCTTGTTCATTAGCCCCTGGATTTTTGAGCTGCGTCCACTAAGAGTGAGTGGTCTGGTCTTAGGATAAGAGGTCTCACCAGTATGTCTTTGAAATTCATTAACTCCAAATGGACGCATCTGCATTCTGATGAGTCGGAGTTCATCTCGACTCGGATCGCGATGCTGCGCGTCGGCCGGCTCTAAAAGTCGTTGTAAGTTGGGGCGGGACTCCCGTCGGGATCGCGCCTGGGATCGCACAGCCGGCAGTGTGTATTGTGCAGCCGGACCGTCCCACGAGCGGGCTCGGCTCCTGGCCCCGGCCAACCGCGGGCCGAGGCAGCTGTGACGTCGCACGCCCGAACGGTCGCCGGTGACGTCACTCACTGGAGCTGACGCCGGCTGCCTAATGAACACTGCCCACAGGTCTGCGACGAACCTCATCCCATGCTCATTAAGGACATGCTGACGCACTGCGCGAAAGCCGATATCGACGAGGCCTACAAGGTGAGTTGGTTGTCGCCGCTGGAGCGGATCCGGGTCAGTGGTAGTGCTCCTCCGGCCATCTCTCTGTCGCTGTCGGGCTCCCCATTGACCCTCGTTGAGTCCGCACACGTGGGTGTCGCGCGCCTGGATGGCTTGGAGCCGTGACCCGCGCGTGCCCGGTGTCCGGCAGATTATGAGCCACCTTTGGCGGCTGGGGTACGCCGCGGAGGACATCATTACCAACGTGTTTCGGATAGTCAAGCACCACGAACTCGCCGAGTACCTGAAGCTCGAATTCCTCAAGGTGGGTGTGCCCGGCAGCCGGGGAAACTCGTCCGCCGTGGCCGTGTCGCTCGCGCGGATCAGGCGACAGGGCTGCCCCGGGCGCCGTCCGAAGTCGGCTCAGTCGGTGCTGAGCCAACCCGGACACCGACACATCCGCCGACGAGCCCGGCGAGGCCGGCCGAGCCCGACACCCACACATCCACCGACGGGCCCGGCGCGGCCGGCCGGACGGTCGGGGTCGGGTCAGCCTCCGGCCAGCCCGCGGCTCCCGGTATGGAGCGAGCACGCTACCTGGCGATGGATCGCGCCGGCGCCGCGCGCACATCGGTAAACAAGACTGTTCAGCCGAGTTAGTGGTCTTCGGTGCTCCATTGACCAACAGGGACGTTGTTCCGCAATTTCTGGGGTGCGGTTCTGATAACGTGCGGTTTCAACGTGACCGAATTGGAGGAAGGATAGAAATAGGACGATCGTTGTTGGCCGTTTTACAAGTGAGATGACTTGTTTGGCGATGAGCGATGCTGGGGAGGTGGCGCTCCAAGATACATCCGCGGCGCCGTCACTTGAATCCGATTAGCGGGGATACACATGGGCAGACAGATTAGTTTGGCCTTCGTCGTCCTGCCAAGCCTACCGAGCATACACTTCGGGGTTT